TCCTTATCTATGAGAGGCTATGTGTGTCGACCCTCTTCAATTCCCACATGGGTGGAAGCCTTGGACACCATTGTAATGATTATATTGTGATATGAAGACTATCTAAAGAAAATCAATCAAATGGAGCTATAGTCCTTGCAAATTAATTCTCATAAATTTTTAGCTATTGTTCGAGAAATATCTACAATCAAATGAAAACCCTGTCAAAAAAACAAGATCTAATGGCTCTTCAAATATTTTCCTTTGAATAGTCCCCACCTACAAAATGCAACCCTTGGCATCTTCATTCACTCAATCTCTCTCTTGAATGGGCAGAATATAATAATGCTAAAAACCTGGGGACGAACAAAGTCATGCTGTGAATTATACACGAAAGAGACATAAACAACCCAAATCATGCAATCACTACCTACAGCATGAATAAGAGGAAAAGTTCCACAGATAATAGACCACTTATTACAAATCAACAAAAGCAATTTAGGATGTCAAGACTCAGCATTTAACCTAAAAAGGAATCAGTATCGCAGGTGTCCCGCACTGCATAACTAGCTAGCTTTTTATCAGTATAAAGTATTTAAAAGATAGAGTAATTTCAAGATGGAAGGAATACTAGTAAGAAATGATAGAGAATACCTATAGGAACTACTAGTAACAGGTCAATACGTATTCGAACTACAACTAACTAACAAAAAATCACAGGTACCTCCAAGCTAGGATGAACATGTATCCCCTTCGAAGCAAAGTGATCATGAATATTCTGAATAATATCATCCATTTTTCTTAACCCCTCAATCTTTTTGTTGAACTGTTCAGCTATCATTGAAAAAATACTGTCATCCTTTATAAACATATGCAAGTGTCCAAGTTGACTATTCAACTCAGCTGAATAGTTCTCCATAGTGCTGTGAGTTCTTGTCAACTCTTCCTTGCATTCAACCAACTTAGCATTCAATTCAACTATCTCCTGTTTGCTATTGGCTTCCAACTGGTTCCTGTCAGAGTTCAGTTGAGCAATATCCCTTTCTGCCACTGCTAATGCATCTTCAAGTGATTTTATGGTAGCATAAGCCTCTGACAACTTACTACCCTTTGAAAAACTATCCTCTCTGAGCTTCTCCAACTCTTGCTCAACAGAAACTTTGTCAAGTTGGATGACACTCTTTTCTTCAGCAATAAAAGAAACATGTTTTTCTGCCTTGGACAAGTCATCCTCTAATGACTTTATAGTTGCAAAGGCATCAGCTAACCTACCAGCCTGCAAATTAGCTTCCTCTTTTAGTTTATCAAGTTCTTGTAGTGCATTTTTCTTTTCAAGTTCTGATTCATGGATGTGCTCAGCAATCCAGTTAACCTTTTCCAATGGCTCTTCAGTAACATAAACAGGAGGAAGAGCAATTGTTTCTATAGAGGTAACTAAATCGTTTAATATGGTTCTGCTCTCATGCAAGTTATGTAGGCTTTGATCCCTTTCATTCTTCAAGGTAACAATATCTTCCTCTAGCTTCTCGGTGTGTGCTGATGAACACCTGATTTGCTCTTGGTAATTATTAATGGTGGAATCTTTTAGCTGCAGTTCATGCTTTAGCTTCTCAATTTCAGATGTTTTTTCCTCCAGGGAGAGTTTGAAGCCTTCACGTTCTTGCACCAAACCCTTCCCTTTCTTCACAGCCATGGATAGCTTCTCCCTAAGCAGAGAAGACTTTTCCTCAGCTCGCTCAAGCTCTTTCTGTACAGAGGCCTTCTCATTTTTCAAAACAATCAATTCATTCGACAACTTCTCCAGCTCCTCTGACAACCCTATCATGGCAGATCTATCAATCATTTCATCTTCAAGAATCTTCTCATACAATTTCAGTTCCTGATCTGTTACATATATTGCCTTCTGCATCCTTTCAAAATGTTTAATCTCAGTGAGAGATGAATTCATCCTTTCATTGATCTTAATCATGCATTTATCTATTATTGTACTTGTATCAACAGGAAGTTGGTCATCCAATGTGGTTTCAGATAATTCCAGTAGTACTTTCATCAACCCAGCTTTATCAGAAGAAAGCATAGACAAGTTTTGAACATTCTCTTCATATTTTCGTTTTAAGACTTCATGTTCATTATGAAGAGTCTCTTTTTCTAACTTTTCTTCCAGAAGAGATGATTCCAGGTGATCAATTTCCTTGTGCATCTCAAACATTTCTGATTCATGTGATGCCGCAGCATGCCGGGCACCACTAATTTCATCCTGCAGCTTAATTATATCGTCCTTAGCATGGGTAATTGCATTCACAAGCCAATTAATTTGAGAATCTAATTCTCTAGGTGAAACATCTTCTGGTAATTCAACAGAAGATATGGCATCTCTGATTTTTTTATTCTCCATGATAATGATATCTGCAACATTTTTTTGGTTCACAAACCACCTTACTTTGTCAGTGATCTCCATTGAAAGCACTTCCTGTGGTGTATCTGTCTGTGACATAATTTCTTCTAATTCCGTAAGATAATTATCCCTTTGTGAAAGTGAGTCCTGGAGAGAACTAACCAAATTACATGTTGCATTCATATCCTCAACACTAGCTTTAACAGTCTCCAAGTCATCAGTTTTCTGTTGCAATTCTTCGAAGCACTTCTCAAGCTCACTCATCTTCTCCAATAATAAATGCTTTAACTCCTCAACGCTGGCTTCTGTAGCTTGTAAAGCCTCTGATTTCTGTTGCAACTCCTCCATGCATTTCTCTAACTCACTTGTCTTTTCAGCCAAGGACTGCTTCAATGAGTCACGGTGTTGAACCAATGATTTGCCCTTCGTCACCGCAATACTTAGCTTTTCTTTTGCTACCACCAGCTTGTTCTCTGCCTGCTCAAGTGCTGCCTTAGTTTTGTTTGTTTCCAAATTAGCAGATTCTAAATTCTCTCTCATGCTCTCTATCTGTTCAACAAGTTTCCCATTCTCTTCCTCAAGTGTAACCATTTTCTCTTGAAAATAAGCCTCTTTTCTCTTCATTTCAAATAACTCCTCACGTGCGAAACTGAAAACATTGTCCAACTCATTGTTCCCTGTGGCTGCAAATGCAGGCCCAACCTCTAATAAGCATTGTTGAAGTTGCTGAATCTCGGATACGAACTGACGATGCTTTTCTATTAACAACAACGTCTTCTTCTCAGCAAGAAAAATATTATTGGCAGGAGAATCCTCAGCAGATGCATGTTCTTGCCCAACCACAGATGCAAGGGATTCAAGTATTCTTTTGGTAACAACATCAGTAGACTCTTCCTTAGTCTCTGACCAGATCTCCCTAAGCGAACCAAGGTAAGAGACAACAACATCATGAGACACAGAAGATTTCAAGGCTTTAACATTGAGATCCTCAATTTCTTGGTCTTTGGCATTTAAAGCAGCATAAAGTTCTGGCACTATTCTTTCAGAATTTATCCTCTTATCCAGAATGTCTTTTAGATCAACTAAAAATTTGAAACAATCATCCAACATTGAGTGCAATGGTGCGGGGGAGGACAATATCCTATTCCCGCTTCCACTGGTTTCAAGATGAGACTGACTAACTGACTCATCCTTGTTTGCAACAAGTAAAGAATTGCGATCCAAGATGTCTTGAAGGCTTTGCCGAAGGCTGACAACTTCCTTCCCAAAAATCTCTCTTTCTTCCTGAATCAAGAGTAGTCTTAGGTTTTCTACTTATAAGGATTCGACCAGATCACACAGATCGAAGAAGCACCTAACCTTATACTTCTGGCATTCAACCATGGTGTCCTCGAGTCGAGCCTGAACCCTGGCAAGATCATCGGCGACCAATCTGTCAGCCGAACTCTCCCCAATCTCGATCACCGCTATCGACTCCTCCAGCCCGGAACTCCGTGCGGCAGCCATGCCCAGCTGATCCGAAGCGTCTTCGAAAGTCTCCTCCCTCCCAGATTCATCCGTGGGCTCCTGCATCGACCCATCGATATTAACCAGGATGCCACTGTCGGGATCCCGTCGAGGCCTCCTGGAGTCCTGCATCACAAACAGTACAGCTCAATCGCGCGATCCGGAGTCGAAAAAAGATCCCCACTTTAACCTAAAAATAACGATCCAAAGCCAGTACCTGATCCGGATTCTCAGGGAGCTCCACGAGCACGCCATCGCTGCTACCGCTCTCGTCCGATGACTGTTGGGCGTTGCTGGGCGACCCAGGATCGTAGGGTTGCGAGCCCTCCGCGCCGCTAATCGGCTTGTGCTCATCGCCTCTGAAGCTCGAATCAGCACCGCTCGAGGGCTTGGGGGAGGAATCGGTGTCCGAGTTGCCCGGCATTATTCAAAGATCCCGAAGTCTCGCCAATCCCGGCTCCAATTGAAAGAAACGATCAAATCAAAAACAGGAAAAGCTGCAATCACGTTGGATTTCGGAGAGCGGTAGATCCACTGGAATATGACGAAATCGAACTGAATTCGGGGTATTGGGAAGAATTGGAGAATTGGGGAAGGAGGACACCCTGACGCACGGAGACACTACGCGTCATACGGAGATGTAATTGGGAAGCGTTACATCGAATCGACGACGACGGACGGGGATTTGGGGGGAGGACGGTGGACGGGGAGAGAGAGAGGGTTTCGGTGTGGTGTGCCTTCGCATGGCGAATAGATTAATCGAAGCCAGCGCAATGGACGAAATGTGGGCGGTGCTAGTCGAGGCGCCGGCTCTTCTTCGAGTGGACCCCATCGGCCCTATGGCCCTCATTTCCTACCTTCTTGTTCATTGGAGAGAGGTCGTCGGCCCAAGTAAAAGTCACTGGTGCGGTTGTTCCGGGTATGTGACGCATGGAACGGCGGGGTGGGTTTCCAAACATGGCGCATACACCCAATTCTGCGACGGCATAATCACTGGCTGGATCCAGTGGGGACCACGCGGCGTCCACCTTAACGATTGGTCGTAGGACGCCCTACAGATAGCATTCATCTCCCTCCCCGCACTCCAGAAATCAACTATATTTGGTCCCTTCCGCCGAGGGAGCGGCTCCGCGGTTCGGTTACCGCCTTTCGCAAACTCCTCTCTCTCTCTCCCTCTCTCCCTCCCTTCCCCAATCATCTCATCACTACTGCGGTCATAACGAGCTCGAGAGACGTGAGGGGGTCTGAAATCATTTCGCTCGTAGTAAGTATTCCGACACTTGTTCATATTTCAGTTATTTCTCTCTAATCTGCCAACAACGCGCGTCCATTTGATGCTTTATGTTTTCGATGAGTTTGATGAGAAGTTCTAGCTGCTTTTCTTTTCTGTGGAAGTGAAAAGGAATGATTTCGTTTGCCGATTTGCCTCTTCCTTTTTCGCATCTTGAAGCTTTCGGTGAATGAGTCATGAACATCGTTAGTAAAAGATGGGTCAAGATCAGAGGTCGTAGCTCATGGGTGAAGGGTGTTGGGAATTTGCCCTTTAACATGTTATCTTGTGCAAAACAGATTCAAGAAGATAAAGCAACAAGAGATCACCGTTCTTGGGCCTCGGCTAGGGTAATTTTGTGGGGAAATTCTTGACGAAGAAAGATCAAACAAAGAAATATAGAAGATTTTAAGAGAGATTAGAAGGGGGAAAAATGAGAGAGAGAGAGGAGATGAATTCACCAAAATATTTACACCCATTATCTAATTTCCTACTGTCAAATAAAGAACCTAAAAATATATATTATTATGGGAAATGGAATCTATCTTCCGGACGTCTTCATTTAGTTAAAATCCATAATTTTCTATTTGATCAAAAAGGGTTGTATGTTTTCTTTTACATGGTGTTTATTTGGAGATCCTAAAAAAGTATCTTCAGGTAATGATACTGAATTTTGTACACACTAGAATTTAAGATCCATGGTGAATTTATTTAATGCGTTGATGTGCAACTTTATGAAATTGATCCTGATATGAATGACAGAGATATGATAAGTTTCTCACTTTATCTTTATTCCTTGACTAAAATTATAGTGCTGTAGATTTATTATTTGGATTTGCTTGTACTTGTTTACTGTTGAATTTTAATATTTTCCAGTAATTTTACTCATTTTCCCTGTAATTTCATATTAGGCCCTGACGCAAATACACTCTTGTAGTAAAATAATTAATTTAATAGGTAATGCCATGGTGCATTTTTTATTTAGTGAAAAATGTGAGATGTATATGAGTATCAGCTGATGTGTTGACAGAGATGAAAAGGAATGAAGAGTATAGAGTACAAAAATCTTTAACGGAAATCATGTACAATTGGTTCATGTCATTTTGATTATTCAATTTGATTTAAAGTTGATGTTATCAAATTGAAAGACATATCTATTGGCTTTTTTTTTTTTTTTCCTTCTTGTAGATCATTTCACCTGCTTTTTCCAAATTATATATATATATAGGAATTTTGATATTATGCATATATTTTAGGCTAACTTAACTTGTTAGGCATGAAGGTTTCCTTTCATGTAGTGTCCAAAAGGATGATGATACAAACTCTTCCATTAAATATAAGATATAAAGCCTGTTTTTATAAAAAATATTCCCCGAGAAAGTAGTAATGCTTGCATATAATATCAGTAGAGAGAGAGAATAAAAAGAGTTTGTGGATGCTTCTTTAGGAATTCTCCTTCCTTGAAGGAGAAGTCAAATTCAGGATGCTTTCCCTATAAGACAATGCAAATACCAGCTTCATTTTTCTTCAATAAGGAATAATATAACTTTTATTGTTTTATAAATGCACTGTATGTTTGTATAAATATATTTGAGTCTAATATGCCATAATTGTTTATTATGTTAATGCCTTTAACAAGACCCAAACTGTAAATAAAATTTCTCTTTTGCTTGCATCACTTATCTAAACAGGTATTGTGGCTATATTTTAGAAGGTTTCTTGCCAACTTATCCAATCAAGATTTTGTATATTATCAAGCAACATTTTGAACAATTTAAGTTATTGAGAAACTAATATGCCTATATTTCCATTGCACAAAGCAAGAAAGAGAGATATACCTAACCCTTCAATCAAACAACTAGTTTTGTTGTTTTAGGTACGTCAACCAGACAACTACAAGATGAAGAGAGAGGGGAGGCAACATGGCATTGTGAGAAGCTCAACTATCCTACCACAAGAGTTCAATCCAACACGCAAGTCCAAAATAGTCGATTGTGTTGGTGCTTCTCCGACCACCAGATTCTTCACCAAGGCACCATCTAAACCCCACAACCACTCCAAGTGCACGAGCAAGTGTCGCACTGCAAGGTGTAAGGGCTGCCATTCCAATCCAATGTCCAAGTCCAGGGACAAGGCCAAAGGTGCATATAAGCTAAAATCTTGTGATGTGGTGCTCAATCACCAACTGGTGGCATGGCGGGTGGTGAACAACAGCACAAGTTTGCCGAATTATAAAGTTGCTTCTGCAAGTGAGACTCTCAATCATTTATATGCCGATAGTTTGTGTGAAGGAGAAGATTATGACAATCATAACATGGAGGAAAATCTAGATTACGGCTATGGAGAAGTTTCTCCCGAGACTATTGACTTGGAGGTGGGATGTAAGGGTGCCAAAGTTGAAGAGGTAGAGCCATTTAGCCCTGACAGTGATGAGGCTGGTGATATGAACTTTTATGTGGTTGGGATGTCCTGGGATTATTCAGATGGAGAATGGCTAGTGGTAGGGGAGATATGAAACTTCACTGAAGCAATTCAAACAGAGAGGAGGTTCTTACCTTGTGTATTCTTCTCCCCTTTTGCTTGCTCAGAACTAGTGTTCAGGACACATATTTCTGGACAAACACTATCGCTGTAATGTGTATCTTCTGTTGGTAAAACTGAAGCAATCTGCCATCAAAGTTAATAATTCAGAGAAAACTTATCTCTGAGTTTGTGTATCTTCTATTGTTTGATTAGAAGAAATTAGGACTTGCCTAGAAATTGCTTGCATGAGAAAGTTGGAAGACTGGCTGTTGAGTAGAAAGCTCAGTGGCAGCTAATAAGTTCTTGCTCTCTGATTAGATCTTGCCAGTGGAACATCATCACAACTCATGCTCAAATATCATCCCCAGTAAATACAAGATTCTGATTGAGCCAAAGTGGATGATCGTCGTACACCAAATAATAAACAGATTGCAGGCAAACCAGTTCCCAGAGCAATCAATCAAAAGACCAGCTGAGACGTGTCTTGTTAGTACCAAAGCATGTACTAGGATTTGTATACATCTTGAGGTTGCACAGATCTGACATTTCCATGTGAAAAATCATCAGCAAATTGTGAAGAAGATATTCACAGCCGTTAATGGCAATTCATGATCAAGCTGACCCTATTCATCACTTGAGATGTTTGTTCACGATCCTTCCAAGACAAAATGGAACCTGCGGTTTATACTGGTCCAAAGCCTCATCCGAGGCGCACTGTACCGCACTTCTTACTATTTACGTCTCCGCGTGTCGCGCACGGAGCCACTTCGACGGGCACCAGAGAAATGGCACTGCTCACCGCCCTTGCCTTCATCCTCTCACTCGCCACTCTCCTCCTATACCTCCGCCGCGTGCGGACGCCGCGCCGCAGCAGCCTTCCGCCCTCCCCGCCGGCGCTCCCGATCATCGGCCACCTCCACCTCCTCTCCTCCATGCCCCACCACGCCCTCGCTCGCCTCTCCTCCCACCTCGGCCCGATTCTCCACCTCCGGCTCGGCCGTGTCCCCACCTTGGTCGTCTCCTCCCCACGCCTCGCCCGCGAGGTCCTTAAGACCCACGACGCCGCCCTAGCCTCCCGCCCCCGCCTTCTCTCCGGCGTCTACCTTTCCTTCGACTGCTCCGACGTCACCTTCTCCCCTCTCGGCCCCTACTGGCGCCAAGCTCGCCGCATCTGCGTCTCCGAGCTCCTCTCCCCCCGCCGCGTCGCCTCCTTCAGCCGCCTCCGCCGCACCGAGCTCCGCCGCCTCCTTGGGTCCCTCAAGCCACCACCCACTTCCTCCTCCTCTCCTCCCCCGCCCGTCGACCTGAGCGCCCGGTTCTTCGCACTCGCCAACGACGTGCTTTGCCACGCGGCCTTCGGGCGGCGGTTCTCGGACGCCGGCGGGGGTCGGCTGGTGGAGGTGCTGACGGAGGCACAGGCGCTGTTCGCCGGGTTCACCCTCGGCGACTTCTTCCCCGGGCTGGGGTGGGTGACCTCCGTTACCGGGCTGACGCGGCGGCTGGAGCGAAACCGGGCCGAGTTGAGTGCGGTCTGCGACGAGATAATCGGCGAGCACGAAGCGAGGCTCGACGAGGCGGATCGGGAGGAGGACTTCGTGGACGTGCTTCTGCGGGTGCGGAAGTCCCCAGATCTGGAGGTGCCCATCACCGACGACAATCTCAAAGCTCTCGTCCTGGTTCGCCCCGCTCCCTCTCTCTCTCTCTCTTTCCCCCCTCCTCCCAACGTCCTCCCTTCTGGGAAGGGTGAGCAATGGCAGTACGGTGACGGGATCCGTCGCGGAGAAGACAACTCCTCTGGCCTATGTGACGTCTGCTGCTTTGTTTCATCGTGAGTCGTGGAAGGGAACGTTTGTTGTTTACCGGAGGGTCAACGAGACGCAACCCCTGTGGAATGCGTGCAGCGGACGGATTGTGTAACGTGGCGTCCTAACATTGAAATGGAGGAAAGAGGCGACGCGTTCGGTAAACACGTGTCGACTTAAAATACTGACACGGAAGTACGTAAGCATTGACACTGAACGTACTGGCCCATTAAGCCTCCCGAATATTGGGCTTCATGGACCCGTATAGGTTATTTGAGCCCTATTTGAAGTAAGATCCAAATCTTGTCTTCATTATCATCAGAATATATATATATATATATATATATATATATATAATTCTTATGTATAAGGTCACATAATTCTTATGTCATCAAATTTTAGATTTATGTTTTATTTTATTAAATACTCGCATTGTTTTTTGGATAATTTTCCTAAAAAATCCTCATTTTAGGTTTTCCCACCCGCCTTTTGATTTTTCTCACAGTATTCCTAATTCGTAAAACATTCAAAATAACTCTCATCAACTATTTCTGTCAAATTTTTCCATCAGCTTTTTCACCAATTTTGAACTGTTACAGTATTTTCATTTGGTTCATGTATAGTATTTTTTTAATAGTATTTTATTGTGTTTTTGATATCTTAATAAAAATACTATGAAGCTTTTGAATAACATTATAAGTGATTACATAGTTATTATTATTCGTAGACCATTACAATATCATATTTTAATTGGTGTTCTTCAAGTAGGTTTTATGGTGTTTTTATTGTAGTAGTCAGAATACTACAACAAGTTAATTTTTTATTTTTATTTCGGTAATATTATTTTTAAATTATTATAAATACCTATTTAAATTTTAGTATAATATATCAAATAGTTTTTAGTATGTTTTGATTCTATCTGATTTATTTATAATATTTTTATGATGATCAAAAATACTGTAACAGGTTAAAATAATACAACGGATAGGAAAAGTACAAACAAATGTTTGTCGTATCAAATCGTACCGTCCGGTACGGGAGGTACGTACCGGTCCGACAGACCAGCGGTACGTGGACCGTTCGATACCGCTTCGCACTGTAGTAGTACAGTGTACTGTTACACTACAGTGTATAGTGCTACAGTGCACTAGTACACTGTAGCATTGCATTGTAGTAGTACTATAGTGCACCAGTATATTGTAGCACTGCACTGTAGCAATGCTATAGTGCTCGGTACACTTGGGTGTATCGTTCGGTACACCGTACCGTATCGGTACTGAGCCCAAATCGAAATACCGGTACGGTACGATATTACGAACCTTGCAAACAACTAATTTTTTAGGAATAATTTAAGTATTTTTTGAATTAAGAGACACTATTCGAAGAAAAAGGAGATGTTGTTTGGGAAAAACCCAAAACGAGGATCTATGATGAGGAGGAAGTCTTGAGTGCTTAGTTTGTCCCTTTTAGAATAATTAGATTTGTTGTATCTTCATTTCACTGCATTTGTCCAGAAAGTGTGGATTCTAGTCACATTTTACTGTCCAATTGTGATGTCAAGCAGGACATGTTTGTGGCTGGCACTGACACAACCTCAGCAACTCTAGAATGGGTGATGACAGAACTCGCAAGGCACCCTCGAGTCATGAAGATAGCACAAGAAGAGGTGAGAAGCATTGTCGGAGGCAAAACGGAGGTAGCAGATGGTGACGTCGACCAGCTTCACTACACGAAGGCCGTCATAAAGGAGACGTTTCGACTTCACCCTCCGGTGCCGCTCCTCGTCCCCCGGGAATCCGTCGACCCCTGCGTCATCGACGGCTACCACATCCCGGCGAAGACGAGAATACTGGTGAACACCTACGCCATAGGGAGAGACCCCCAGGTGTGGGAGAATCCGCTGGAGTTCTACCCGGAAAGATTCGAGAACAGCGACGTGGACGTCAAAGGTCAGAGCTTTGAGCTGCTGCCTTTTGGAGGAGGGAGGAGAGGCTGCCCTGGATATCCTTTTGCACTGGCTACTCTGCAGCTCACTCTGTCGAGTCTGCTGTATCATTTTGACTGGGAGCTGCCTCCGGGTGTGGGAGCTGATGAGGTGAACATGGATGAGATCTTTGGGCTGGCCACAAGGAAGAGGGAGCCCCTGGTGCTGGTGGCCAGAGAGAGAGCAGGGTGTGAGTTCGAGGAAGACGAGTCAACAGACACTTGATTACATGAATTCTGTGGAGAAAGTGATGTGAATGCATGGTATAAAATAAAGACTGCTAATGTTGAGATTGTTCCATTTGATGTATAATGATTACTATCGATTTGGTTTTATTTGATCTTTGCATCCACAATACGTCCTATATATCTGTTTAAATTGCATTAATTGCAGTGCATCTTATAAGAAGATTCTTACCTGTTCTTAACAAAATGTACAATCTTCAATTCCATATGATCCACCATGTCAAGTATGGAACATGTCTTCTTCTAGGCCTTACATTAATCGAATGATGTAAATGAGTTCATCTGAAACTATTCCGCTCAGCAGTCCGAATAAACAAAACAAACATTCCACAATAACAAGAAAAGAATAATCTTCTTAGCTATCTGTGTAACAAAAACCTGGCAATGCCAATATGTTTTTTGATTAGCCTGATACAAGAATTATAACAAAACACACGTGATCAAAGAAACGGTGAGAGGTAATTGACGATCGGCAGTCGCGTAGTGATCTTGTCATATAACTTGCTGCAAACATCATTTCTTGAAATTTATTGACAAGAGGAAACCAGTTTCTCAATGATTGTTCTTAGTGCCGGAGCGCTCACAGTGCATTTCTGATCCGTGAAACATGAGCGCCCTTCCTCTACGGCTCTGCAAAGATGAGGATCCATCGGCACCTTCCCGAGAAATGGGACTCTCATTTCCGCGCACATCTTTGCAGCCCCACCTCTACTGCTATCGAAGACCTCGCAGCATGAGATTACGGACAGCAGCTCCGGAGCATTTGATCTAATATAGCTAAGTGCCCACTCTGTTACATCATTCTCATGTCCGGACTCAGTCGACTTCACGAACCTGAAATCTGAAATCGACTGCCTCAACTCGCTCATGTTCTCGACAATCCCCAAAACTTGGATGCCAACCTTCTTGCAGAAACTGATCTCCTTTCGCACATCGATCAAAGACACTTGCTGTGGGGTGGTAACGATGATCGCACCAACTATGCCTGTGGCTTGCAGAAACTGTACAATAGAAATGTGCTCATCAGATGTTCCAGGCGGAGCATCAACCACAAGATAGTCCAGCTCACCCCAATCCACGTCCTTCAAGAACTGTTTGATGAGTCCATTCTTGCGAGGGCCCCTCCATATGACAGCCTCATCAGGATTTGGGAGCATGAAACCAATTGACATAACCCCAAGGTTCGATTCAACATAGACCGGGGACCAGCCAAGGTTGCTCTGGTGGATATCCTGCCCTTCAAGCCCCAGCATTTTGGGGATACTAGGCCCACATATGTCTATGTCAAGAAGGCCAACCTGGGAGTCCATCTCAGCCAATGCAAACGAGAGCTGTGCCGCGAAAGTACTTTTTCCGACACCACCCTTCCCAGATAGGACAAGTATCTTGTGTTTTATAGTTGCCATTCTCTCTGCTATAGTCACCAAGTCTGACAAAAGATCACACATCTCTCAGCAATTTGGTCATATTAACGAGTCTAAAAAGCTTCAGTGTAAGATGAATAACAGTAAGCGCTCCAAGCTAAATTAGTCACTATGTGATGATTCAAGCAAAACTTAGATGGACATGCAAAATAGGCCTTCAAACATAATTTACAACGTAAAGGCATTATCATCAGATAAGGAAGTCTTAATGTGGCGAGCAGATCTGTCAAGATATGACATTTCGAATGTCACCGACAATTAGGTAGCTTAAAAAGGCTTGGAGTACAGGTGATAATACTTCTGCAATAGGAAGAACATGGCACAGAGATACATACATGACTAATTCAATCAATACCTTACGAAGACAAATTAACAGAAATATTAACAAAAAGCTCCTAATAACAGAAAAAAGGTAAATTATGATGACCAAGAAAATGTTGACAAGAAGAGAAAAGTAAATAATAAAAGCAAGGACGAAGGTAGAGGAGAGATGACTAAAACGTAACATACAGCAAAAAGCATAGATACGACCCAAACGTGAAGTTTGAATCTGGGAATGGCTTGCGGGATCATTAGCCGACCAGATAATCTCATGTGCCTCAAACCTTGTACTCCTTGCAAATGTCAAGTATTCACTGTATGTACCCAAAAGAAACAAAAGCAAGAAAAGAAAATTTGAATTATTTGAAGTTGTTAAAATAAACATATGCACCACCAAAGACCAATTACACCTCTGCTTAATCGAATCAGTACATAAATTTCTTCAAAAACACTCCAAGAAGGCTAATTTGTTTATCTAAATCAAGCTCATCTCTCACAGTGATCAGAGATGTCAAACAACCGATTCTCACTTAAACCTTATCATCTTAAACGTGTTCAAATTATCAGCCTTATCCCAGAACAAAATACAACCAGAAGAATCAAGACTTAAACCACACCTTAGCATTACCCTGTCAAAAATCTTTCTGAGATATAACCTATCTGATCTTCCTTAGCATTAGTCCTTCATCAATGGAACATAAAATCTTAACAAAAATATGAGTTCAAAGATTCTCTTTTACAACATGAATAGAATTAGATCAAACCAAATCAAGCTTCATAAATCATACTAAACATTCCCGACTTTTTTTTCTTCGGTAACCAAAGGCTCAATTATTTACAGAAATTTCATCTCTGGGGTTACATGAAGTCATCCAGCAAATTCATACAAGCATCAACATGAAGAACTACTTTTCAAAGTTTGACTACTAAGTTTCAACTTGAAGAACTAATTTTCAATCTTTATATACAAAAAATCCGCATATTCTCCACCAAATAAAAGGAAAAAACCTGAGCTTTTTGATGTAACAGGGAAGCTTAGAAGATAACAATACCAGGGTCAGGGCCTTTTGGGGCAGTGGCACAGATTTGCTGATTAGGGCACCCGGCGCACGCATCTGCCTTCCCCGCCTCCTCTGACTGCGACCCCGGGCAATCTGAAAACCCCTCAAAAATCAAAGAACAAAAAGAAGCAGAATATTTCCGCAAAGTAATATGTTATTTGCTGATAGAAAAGAAGGAAAAGATTCCTTTTCGAGCATTTTGGTCAAAGAATAGAAGCATACGCTCATTTGCATTCTCGGGGATTTGGTGGTTTCCACTGTCCATCTTGTCTTCTCCCACCCTCTCTCCCTCGCCCTCTTGGGAGGAAATATTACATTGACGAGACTTTCATAAGCCCGCATCATGTAGAATGACAAAAAAGCCCATGACAATTAACTCATCCGATCCGGATCCGACGGATGACAATCAATCTTCCATTTATTCCATACGGAGGGGCGAAGAGAGATGATGAGAGTGATTACGCTCGCCTCGCGTCGCCTGGACCACCGACGCCTTCCATGTGTTTGCTCGATTGCCTCTTCGAAGAAGATCTCCTCTCGTTTCGCCGAGAGCCGCAGCAGCCATCGGCGACGCACGGGCGCTGGGTGGGGGTCCTCCAGGTACGAAAAATCTGGCGAATTTTTCTGGTTTCTGAGTTGGTTTTGCTTCCCTCTTCCTCTTTCCGATTGACTCAGTGCACCATGCTCCTTGAGTTGACAAGAAGTGCCAAGAATTGAGATAAAGACTTCATTCTTGAGCTGTTTCCGTGTGATCTTTAGCTATTCTCTTCTCTCTTGTTGAATATGTTATGATTGTAGAGGTTGAATCCAAAAAATTATGGTCAAAGGAACACTAAAATCAAAAGAAAATGAAGCAGATTGGAAGTGTCTATCAATTCTCATGAGAAGTCATACTTATTTTTAATATAATTACGTCTCAAGATTTTTCTCTAATTTTTTTGTGCACAAAGCGTTGACTTTTGTTACTGGATTGGGGTCCTGTAAATTGACTTGTTACCATCATCTTAAATTGGAAGATTGTGGGCATTCAATGTAGTTATCCTTCTGAGCAGCTTATTCTAAACTTGAAACTACCTGAGAACAGGATTCATTCTTTTTTGATGACTCAAATGTCAATTCTACTGGATTTAGGAAACACAACTTGATGAAATTTAACTCTGAGAAAGTCAATGCATGTTTTTTTGTATCACCCTTAAATCCTTAATGAATTTATCTACTGTAGCACATGATTCATTTTGATCTTGAAGCTAAGACCTACATGTATTTAGATTAAACAAATCATCATCATATTACTAATTAAGCATTGCCTACATTGAGTAGGTAGATTCACCAGCAGCAGATGCATGTGATCATCATCATGCTTACCCCTTTGAATCCCCCATTCAAGTAGCAAATACAAGATACATTTTTTTATTTCTACCAGTATTATTGAAGGCCACCTGCTTGCATGAAGTAAAATTTAGATTTAAATCTCCTGTACATGCATGGGATTCCTTGGTTAATCACTTGATCAAATAATTATCGACTTTTTTTTTTCGGTTTCTACTTTTACAAGTATATTTACAGCAAATAATTGATTATGGATCACATATGCAATACATGCAATGTTGAACAAGCATTTGGGTGGCAACATTGACTAATTGATGCTGGTCAAAATCATGAGAGTGTTCTTCACATATTTGTTAGATGTAGATCTTAAATTTTCTTAACAAAATGGTCCTTGTAAGGATTCCAGGGACATCCCCATGCTCAAGTGATTGCTGTTGATGCTAAATGGGAATTCATAGAATGTAAATCTATTACAGAGTGAAACTTAGATTTCAAGAAACCTTCTTCATTCTGATATAGCAGCATGGAAACATTCAGGATTTGTTGCTGTTGCTACTCAATGGAAATATGCATGACAGTATTTTTTAGTTAACCTTTGAGCCAAGTGTGGAAGCATCATAGAAGAAACTGTAGAATTTGGTGAAGCAAGAAAGAAGCTAGTAGCAGAGCAGGTTTCTAAAATGATTCAGGCATTTGTCATTTGGATGTTGAGGAAATGTGAAGATTAGTAGTTGGAAGAACATTTTAGAATATAGTAATAAATACTAAATGCCATTGCATCTAAGAGTCAGTAGATGGGACATGATCTAATTTATACTCTTAAAGATGAACAAACCATTGTGTTGCTCAGATCTCATCAAAGATGCTAATATTGCATGATGAGTCTTAGAAACAGCAATTTCTGATCAGATTTTTCTATGACCAAAAAGGATACAGAGAGTGTGCAACTCTATTGAGCAAAGACAACAAGATCAGAACAAAAGCAGTAAAAAAGAGAGTCTAAGAGACCAGCAAATGGCCCTCAACCACAAAGAGAAGACAATTTGAAGGAGAAAAAAGAGGATGGCAAATGCCCTGTCCTTCTAATGTAATCTGCTCTCTCCGAAGTCCTCGCGGCATGCTCGTTCAGCCTGCCCTCTGCATTGGCTCTCTTCTCCTCTGCCATTCTCCGTGCCGCTGCCAACCTGCTTGCATGTTTTTCTTGGGCTCGCGACCTCATTCTTTCTGCCTTGACCTGTGAGTGAAGAGAATTGGTCATACTTCTGTTCAAGAAAACCAAGAAAAGAAGTGCTTGGAAGAACAGTATCATCCTAAGCATATGTTAGCTTGAATGCTGTCCAAGAAAGAGGATTTTGTTGTGAGTGAAGAGATTGATCATAATTAACGTGAAGAAAACAGAAAAATAACTGTCCAAGAATCAGATCCAAAAATAGGATTTTGTTGTGATCAGTAATGCATGTTTAGGAAATCAAAAGGCTTTGGTAACACAAAATGAGGAAGAGTGTGTATTGTTTCTGCACCTCCATCCTCCTCATCTCAGTTTCAGCTTTTCTTTTCTCATGATTCTCCCATGCTTGTATCTTCACCTCTTCACGCTTGTATCTGCAGGAAATGATGGAACGATCAGAAGCCAAGGACTTCAAGAAAGAATAAAAGAGATGGTGTCTGAGAACAATGGTAGTTTGCCGATCACTTGCAGAGGAACATACGGGTGGAATCATCACTGTTCTTCTATGAATTTATCACAGTACTTCCGTTTGGATTCACCCAAAGCACAAACAATTGCAAAGGAGATTGCTTCAGTTCAGAACTACAAGAGCAGGGCAAGAGTAGCAAAGGAAGAACATGAACACAGGTACTGCACCAGTTGGAGTTACCTTGCCGTGTATTTTGCTCGCTCTGCTTCGTCCCATGCAGTGGCTTGAGATTCCAGCGAATCCATGTTCTGATCTTGCTCAGATGCATTCACCTCAGGATACTTGCTGCCGTCGATGTGAGCAGCTTCACCTCTGCAAGGCCAGCCATTGCCGGTCGACCTCCCGAAAGGCACTGCCTCGGTTCTCCTCTCCGGATTCCTCATCCCCGGCTGGTGGTCGTCGTGCTGTTCCGCGCCCTGTCGGGTTCTCCCCGGGGTGGATGACCTCGAAGAGAGCGGACTCTTCAACACCGGCGTCGTCGCTCGAAGCGGCGTGCCGGTCCGAGATGGTTCCTTGCTTGCGATCGGCGTCATCTCCGTGCTCGCGTCTCTCAAACACACCGATCTGACCACCACGGACGAGTCCTCGCTCGGCTTGTTCGTCCTCCACAACGGCTCGTTGCAGTCCACCTTCTTTGTTTCGGCTGCGTCTTGAGCAGCCACTGCGAGAACCATGTCGTCCTCCAGAACTCCATCGGCGCTGCTACAGGAGTCCCGCCCTCTCTGGGACAATGAGGTGAGCAGCCTCCGGTCGTCGGCGTTCGAGTTCCTTGGCTTGCTCACGGAGTGCTTGTGGTCTGCCCGAGCTGAGAGCCCCACCAGCCATTTCTGGGCGTCGTCCCACTTGGAAGGGGTGGGCTTGGCGCGCGACCCCAGCGCTTTGTGGTGGTGAAGGGCCTTGGTTGGGCCGGCGCCACTGTGGAACTCGAAGCCGTATGCATTGCAGCTATGGTGATCCTGAACTGATTCATGGCTACAGCTCCCCTTGCTCTCCACTGGCCTCATCCTCCCAGAAACCAGCTGTGATCAGCACAACACCCACTGTGCTAACTCTTAGAAGGCCAAGAAAACCTGCAACACTGAAGAATTCCCAATGGAGAGAGATGGCAGCTGGAATCCGCTGAGAAGTGAGCTAAGAGAAGCTTCAGATCATGGTCTCCTCCTCACACTGAACTCACCTGGACTGGGAAAAAAATGTGGCACCAAACACTGGTTGATCTTCCCAGAATCAGAACGACACGAGAGTCTTTCCCAAATCTATGACAACCCTCAGCAGAAGCAGCTCATCTCAGTGTATGGATGGATCTCCAAAGGCTACATGGTGGAGATAAAGAGGACAAAGGCTGCTGCAGAAAGAGGCATGCCATAGGTGTTAGTGTTAGGCAAGGACCGAGGGAATGGAAATGGAGATGGCTCCAATGGAGGAGTGAAAAGATGGAATAATCCCACCTAGGAAAAGGCAAACTTTTCTCACCATTGGAGGGGAGAGAGAGAGAGAGAAAGCAGATGAGAAGGAGCCACAAAGGAGAGAATCTCTCTGAATTGAGCTGCAATGTGACAGAGGAAAGAAATAATAACTGTCAGTGTACTGAGTCTGTGGCACTGCCTCCATTCCTTAGTAGTTTTCACTATGCTGTCAGCCGGAGACCAAAAAGTATTTAAGCTTAGATTCTTAGCATAGGATGCTCTCTAATCACATTGTGCACAGATTTAGGTGTACCTTTTCGGATAAGCATCGATCACACTTTCTGAAGCTTAATTTATTTGAGATAATAACAAATAATTAATTCTTTACTTTGTAAGAGAAGGAAAATGAGATCGATGGACGGAGATGCGCCTTAACGGCTAGTGCCACATCGACAAAAGTGGGCCACGTGAGGCGTGCGTGGTGGAGCAGCGCCTTCACGTGGGTGTTGGCGTTGGTGTTGGTGGCACTGCTGAATCATCTCCTCATTCATCTCATCATTGGAACCAAAGCCTGTTTGCTACAATGTAGCAGACAACTCCACAGTATTCTTTTGAATGTTTCTTTTCTCTCTAAATATTATTTGTTTATGTGATATATATATATATATATACCCTCCAAAATTTTATATTTATGTTTATCAATATATATATGAATATTAATTAACATAATAATATTCAAGTAATAATTCAATCAGTGAACTTTCAATATTATATATTTTTTAATTAGTAAATCTTGTTTAAGCAAAAGCTTAGGAAATGGAAATTTAAAAGGCATTTTAGGTATTTAAAATTGTAATACTCTTTTAGTGGTGGTTAACCCAACTTTTAGTGGGTAATGCTAACAAGAGTGACATATATAGATGACTTTAATTAATATTTAAATATATGAAGAGATTATAGATATGCATTAACCCAACTTTTAGTGGGTAATGCTAACAAGAGTGACATATATAGATGACTTTAATTAATATTTAAATATATGAAGAGATTATAGATATGCATTAACCCAACTTTTAGTGGGTAATGCTAACAAGAGTGACATATATAGATGACTTTAATTAATATTTAAATATATGAAGAGATTATAGATATGCATTAACCTGACTGACTTTATCAAGTAATGCTAACAAGAGTGACATATATAGATGACTTAAATAATTAAAATATTATTATAATATTTAAATATTTGAATAGATTTAGATATTTACCATGAGAAGCATGGACTGTCTGAATTATTTTACTAACAATTGCATGTAGGTTTACTCATGAAGACTCCTCTTGTAAAAACAACAAAAAAAACTCTTTTATCATATCAGTAAGTCTTTATCAATATGGGGCCAAAATCAACTTTCTAGCTTTCAATTATGAATTGAAGGCGATGGTTAGAAGACATATGGAAAGTGACCTAATCTAAGACAAAGGACATGCCATATCCAACTTTTAGGGTCCCTCACATGTTGTGGTTTGGAGCACACCAATTCCCTCAATTGGTGGCCCAATCTATTTGCTTAGTAAAGTAGACATCCATAAACATATAACCAAAGTGAACAACAAAAGCCCCTTTGAGTGGTCCCTGTAATCTCATCTACCCAATAATTGCTCTTTTATATGCATTTCAATGATATACAACTTCAAAATGGAAGAATTCGTAGTAAGTGTTATAAATAATTAATTATTAAATTAAGTCATTATAATTAATTAATTTTTATTATTATTTATAGTGTAAATTATTCTATTTTTTGAAAATATGAAACCCAAATCATTTTGATCTTTATTAGCTATGAGAAAATTTACTGATGGACAAGTTATAGATGTTTGTCAATCTATTCTTTACCATGAAATTATACGATCAAGATAAAAATGTTGACGATCTTTATTCTTATAGAGTGGTTTTGAGATGAACTAGTATATTTGGTTCTTATTCCTTAATTTATTTTACTTTGTAATGGATCAACTAATATTTTTATTAGTTTTCAATTATAAGCGACATACCATGCATTTGGTAAGAAGAATTGCAAACTCAATCGTAAGACCACCCTAGATAGCTTTATTTGATATATTTTTGTTCTATTATATAGCTAGAAATATTGGCATCTCTTTGTGATAAATCTTCGGGAGAAGATCTATTCTCATTACAATTCTCTTCTCAAAAAATCACATTTAAATATATTTAAATTAATGATAAGTATTTTAATTTGAATAGTTGTGCTACAAAAACACTTATCTTATGTTAAGTGTTTATTTATTAAGAAATAGATAAAAAAAAATTTCAAGGATATGTATCCTAGCATTGTAGAGAAAATTATTAGTAAGGATAGAAGACAAAGGTGGTCAAATGCCCTCAACAAGATAGATGAATCGTAAATGAATTATGTCAATCATATTTGTCAAGTTATGTGATTATTGTACTAATCTATTTTATCTTATTTTTAGAATAATGACTACACAATATTTGAGATGAAATACATAGATAATTTGTTTGATGGACAAAAACATAAAATTTAGCCAATGAGATATACTATTATTTAAGCTCCAAATTCTCAATGCTATATTGGATGACTATATTATTATGTGGCAAGGGATAGAGACATTAGATGATTATTGTTATTAACTTATATGATGACCTTTGTTGTTTTAGAATTTGTTCGACAATGTCATATTGGTTTGGAATTCAATATGATTGATGTTAATATGAATTGTTTCAATGTCATGTTAGTTATCTGTTTCATTTGTGAATTACTTAAAAATTATTATCAACAAGTCTCTCTAATTCATTATATGTGATTATTATGTTTGCCACTTATGTGTCAATTTAAGGTGATTTATTATTTAAATAAGTTATTTTGAGTTGAATTTATGAACAAGAGTAACTCAGAATATAACTGAATGTAACCCTAGTATAATTCAAGTATAAATATTAAAATTATCCCTAATTTTATCTAATATTTTTTCAAAACTATAATGATATATTTTTAATATATTTTATATTAATTTTTTAGAAAATTTAAATACAATAGGTATTGAAATAAGATATTTTTAAATTAAATATGTGATCTAGAGTAACTCGAGTATAACCCAAGTATAAATTAAATATAAATATCTTCAATTATCTTCAAACCTACTCAAACTTTCCTAAAACTATAATAACATATATTGTATTGATTTTTCTATTTTTTTATTTTAGAATCAATTGATGGTGAAATATGAGATATCTATATTGAATATATCATCTAATATAACTCGAGTGTAAATCAAATGTAATATCTCCAAATATCCCCAAACCTACTCAATTTTTTTTAAAGCTACAATAACATGTTTCTAATATGTTTTATATTTTTTATCTTTTCCTATTTTACAGTTAATAGGTGTTGAAATAGAAGATTTTTATAATAATTTTGTGATCCAATGTAACCCCAATGTAAATATCTCTAATTATCCCCAAACCTACTCAAACTTATTTAAAACTATAGTATCATATTTTAAACATGTTTAATAGAATTTATTTTTTATTTTTAGATAATATCAAATTTTATTATTTTGAAGACGAATACTATAGATTTTGGTGTTATAATCGTCTGGTTAAGAGATAGTGCTACCGCCCTAATTTAATACAAGACTACCTAATTTAATATAACTCTAGTGTAACTAACTCTACGGTGTACTCTATTGTAATTCTATTATATACTTGAGTTACATTGAGGATAAATTAATCAAAACTTATCCAAAACAATCATGACATGATTCTAAGTTGAGTAGTGCTAGTTATTTAATTTTTAAAATTTTTTAGTGTTATTAATAAAGTTTGGTATATGGTGATCCAAATATTAGATCGTAATTCTATCATATTCGTAATTCAAGTATAACTTAAGTTAAAATTGACTTAAATTAGAATCAAATTCTCTAAAACTATCATGATATGATTTTAAGTTATTTAGTATAACTTTTTATATTTTAGATTATTTTAGTGTAATTATTAAATTTTGACATGATGTGATCTAAATGTTATATCATAATACTATCCTATCCGTAACCCGAGCGTAACTCAAGTTAAAATTTACCAAATCAAAATCAAATTCTCTATAACTATGATAACATAATTTTAAGTTGATTAGTACTTATTTTTTTTAGATTATTTTAATATAATTATTAAATTTTGGCACATGATAATCCTAACAAAACATATCTCAACCAACAAATCCACTCTGTAAATATCATCAAAAATATTTCTACAACAAGAATTATAATATCAATTACAAATGATAACTTCAGATTTAAAATTATCATAAGTTTATAATGTCTCATAATATTACAACACACTTAGCATAAAATTATATAGGTATACTATACATAAAAAAATCGTCTCCTATAGCCATTGATAAAAAAAATTGATCAAAACTAACCTACACAAAAAATAAAGTACCATACTACTTTATATTTTAGAATATTAACTTATACAATCAATGAAAAATTACATTACTGTAGATTGTGACCTAACTATTGACACCTCGAACATAATTATGTCTTAATTCTATCGTTGCCTGCTTCATTTTGCTTGATCGTTTTATGCTCTTAGGAGGTAAGATAATCATACTATCAAGTTTTTTAATCCAAAGCTATTTACTTCTTATTGAAAAGATGGTATTATTGTAAGTTTTATTTAAATATTTTAAGAAATCTTCATAATAGACATATGGGTTGGAATTCAGCAACCCTAAAGTAGCTATTGCTAAATATATCAAAACGTCAAAATGAATATATTTTTTTTTTCAGATCTATCTCGTGTTATTTTTTGTCTTTGATATTTCTTTCTCGATCAAGGGCGTCCATGTACTAATCACAGTACAAATAAAATAACTTAATAACTTTCCTTCATATGATATCGATCATATATGTTATTGGAAGTGTACAGACATCTTTTAGATCTATTTATTATTAACATTGCATATCATCGTCTTAAAAAAAAAATAGAGTATCTCACTTCTCTTTATCTATTTCTGAAATTTAATGATAAGTTTTTATATATTTTCATCAGTTTTCATATATATTCATTGGTTCATCGACATCTTGTCCGATTCTTCGGTGCATCGTCCTCTCTTGCGATCTATTGCCCAATCGGTTAGTTGACTTCTACAACTCTAATTTTTTTGGCGTAGTTTCCACTCTTCTTAGCCCGAGGCCTTTTGTCGATACATCGATCGATCATCCGGCTCGACGTCTAATCTTTTGATATGTTCCGTTCCGACCTAACATGATTCTTCTTGAACCTAAAAAAGTTTAGTTACTTTCCTATCATCACCTACTAAATTCTTCGAAATAATGTGTGCCTTTGTAAATATTTCTTTAATTACTATAAGAATTTTAGAATTTTTATCTAATCATGATGTATACTAAGATATTTTTTCAACTTGAAAAGAAATTATTCTCTCTCCTCTCAAATTTTACTACTCGATAGGAAATAACATTATTAGATTTAGGGATAGTGAGGTATTGAAAAAAATAAAAAGGATAATCTATAGATCCTAACAATAAAAAATTAAATACTTAGTGTCATATTGAGCTGATCTGATCCATTAAATATAGTCCACTTCAATTCATCACACCAGTTTAAATCAGAAAAAAAAAAATCAAAGTATCTTTTTATAAATTTATTAAAGATATTTTGATCTAATTATAAAAACTACCTCTTGGTACAAAGCAATCATGTATTATATATTCTTTCGATGAAGACGACATTCATATGATCTGACACTACAAACAAGAGTGACATTATGATCTAAATCTATACAATTAATGTATGCCAACAAAAAGTAGCTTACACGGGATCACAAAGCTAAAGCTAAACATACTAGAAACGGGAGCATCATAGCACATGGAAGCATCGAGTGAAAGATGGCATCAATCTATCCTTGAGGCCGTTACCACTGTCAGGCAACACTATTTTGTTAAGAGGAGGCATCCAACAGCCATCCAAGCAAATATTTTGTAGCAAAAACATTTGATGATGATGATTAATATGTTATGAGTCATTATTTATCCTCGTTAGCACGGATTTATGGGATCCAAAATGTTTCACTGATAGTAGATAGATTATTTAATTGTGGGATCCCAAAAGATATTACATAGCAAAAAAAAAGAAATAATACTAATAGAAATTATAGTTATTTATCTTTAATAATATAATTATCAGAATCTCTCGAGATTATGATGGGTGTCATTCATCTTTTGTCATCATTAAGAGGGCACATAATCTCATAAAAAATTATTTTTTCTACGTAGAATTATTTAATTATTATGATGAGTATAAGAAATTATTTAATTATTAGTATGTACTTACCAGAAATATAGAATTATTTATTCTAGGATCCCAAAGGATATTATCGTAAGTAGATAACAAAAAATAAAAATAATACGATTCATATTCCTCAATTGATGTTAGACTAAATAACGATACCTTTAGTATTATGGTTATTTATCTTCAACAATGCAATCATCAAAACCTCCTCTAGTCGCCACATCCATTTTTTTTCATCATTAATGAGGTCACATAAACCCATCAAAAATTATCCATTCTATATGACTTTTGTATGATTTTACCTTTTCAAAATCATATGGATTCCAAAAAAAAAAAAAAAAACCTTTGAGTCCTATTTCTCTGTAGATGTGAAACCCATCAATCTCAATTATGTATGAATGCATTATCTTGAGTCAGCACAAGCATAATAATTTTTACAAGAAATTTGAATACTGAAAGAGGGATGATGGTTGCTCATGATTACACTAGAAATGCACCTGTCTGTATCCTTGTTATCATTATTGTGGAATTCCATGTGTTATGATGCTCAGTAGCACAATTGTTAGAGGAATTTTTTGATGGTTTGAACTTTGAACCCTTAATTTGCATGCCAAAGAAGCCATGATAGTTATGCATCTTTGTGTAAATTATGGAACTTACAACATCTCATGACCACATGCTACTTGTATATCACCACATAAATAAAAAGTACAAGATGATCCATCCACATCTACAGTCCAAAGAAATATCCAATTAGTTTTGCCTCCCATCCTTCACTTATATGTTGAGTTGTTGTTGTTACATTTTAATGATCAAATTTCCCTCCACTGTAGTAAAAGCAAAGTTAAACATAAGACATGCTTAAGCTTTCAAATATATATTCAATTGATATGGTACCTGAAAAAGAAAAAAAAAAGATAACTAAGAAGCAATCAATCAATTAGGCTGAGAGCAGTGGATCTAATTAACATCTTTAATAAGATTTTGTAATTGAATTATAGCTTCTCCATAATTAACTTATTATTATACAATATCAAAAATATCGATTTGCTTAGTTGATAAATATTTGATTGTTGATGACAAACATATTGGATCAAATTTTGTATTTATTACTTACCTCTTGCAAAATATAATTAAGGCATAACTTTTATGCACATCTACTTATTTGAAAATTCAATTAATAAAATTGGTGTACGAAATTGAAACTAGAAAAAAGGGATAAAAAAAAAAAGCATCACTCGATTACCTCAAGCAGCATTTTATCACTTCCAGATATATCAGATATACCGAACATATCTATGCCTTGCCCTTTATGCCTTGATTTAGCTGAAAAAAATGATGCATGATCATCAAAATCATCAGCTCAAAATAACATATTTTGACTGATGGAGCTCAACATAACCCACACCACATAACTGGGGCTTTATGCTTTGTTATTATTGTTGGTGGTGGTGGTCTCATCCACCACATCCAAATAATTGGGAATTTTAGCTGTGCTCAAGAGTTCTTCTCATCAATGTTTGGATCTCTGCAGCTGTAGTAGCACAAAATATCTAAACTCGAACAGTGAGCTGAGAAAAGATCATAATCCGTGCTTGGAAAAACATAGAAATCTAAATTAGGTCAAATAGGAAGTCGCATTAACGACAAGATTTGTTTGAGCACACAGCTGCATCCATAAAAGAACAAGTTCCAATGTTCAGAAGAAGAACAAAGTAGACATGTACTCAAACCTTCTCAACCTCACTTCCAATGTCTTTTTAGGTATTTGATACATAATAAGTATATACTTACATATATAATATTTATACAGCTCAACCATAATTAAGTAATAAATCATTAATCAAAATGTCCTATAATAACAGGAGTTAGGACACTTCTAAAATTCAGTAGTTCTGATAGAAGAAACTTGAAGGAAACAGTATGGCCAACATTAGGCACAATGAAAGCAATGTGTTAGATATATTTCTATGTGAATAATCAATTTGGCCCACTAGTTTGGGGTGCCCATCCTATTTCCCTGTAATTGACAGTGTCCAATGTCACGGTGTTACCAGTCAGATCACAACGATCATGTTCCACTGGCTACCTTCTTTATCAACTGACCCGTAGTAGCTATGACAAAGCCCAAGAAAGCACCAGCTACGACCTGAAAGAGATATCAGGAAATAGATGTTGAATTTAGCTCAGTGGAAAACGACAGTTACCTCCAAATTACAAATTACATGTGAATACTTTGCATACTAAAAGTTGATTTTTGTTGCAGCTGGCTCAACAACATGTATGATATTATATGCCCATCTAATCTCTATTACGTGTGTATATTCCCAAACAAACGAGTGCAAACCTTAACAGGTTCACTCATTTATATGCTTTACCACAACAAGATATGCTTTGTCAAACCTGAAGAGGAGTATGACCAATTAGTTCACGCAAAGGCCTGGTATCTGAAAGAGGATGATCTGCTGGAAGTTCATATACAATTTGATTCAGCACCTGGGATCCAGAATAGTTCATTGAAGTTGACGTGCATAAGCAGCTTAATTTGCTTGTATATTGAAACTTATCTAACAAGAAATAGCAAAGCCAATAGAAAAAAAAGTGACATAATAACATGAATTAGTTAAAATTTTCCCGATACTTTTGAAACATATCATTGGCAAGATGATAGCTAGTTAAATTGTAAAAACTAAGGGGCATCTTTGTATGTACACCTTAAAATATTTGAAATGTGTCCTATTAGTTGAGGTTAGAACGGTCTACAAGATCAGAAAGGGAGGACCGAGGTGGTCCACATGGGGCCAAGGGGTCTTTGCAGTTGCAAAAATTATCATGGGCAACTAGAGGCCTTTGAAAGTAGGTGGGAAAGGAAGACGCACCCTCACTGGTGACGAAAAAACATCAAAGTGTATAGCTTTCAACATCAAAACCATCAAAATCCATATAGTCACCACAAACTAGTTGACGAGAGGAGAAACTCCATACTGGATTTTACACCAGAGAGAAACTCAAAGAAACAGCGTGGTTGTCAAGGCCATATTGTCTACTTTCAATGAGTTTTCAAGAGTTTCTATTATGGTGTATATGTTTTGGATCATTATGATAGTCTGAACATGATTTGTTTTGAGAGCACACATGCAAAGCAATGGATGAAAGTGTCTCTCATGAAACAAATTTAGAAAATCATGAAACAAACATACCTCTGCCTGCTTTCCAGCATGCAATCGAACACCAAAAGCATCATGCATTACCTGCCAGCAAATGTTGCTCCATGGGAAATTATAATTGAATGCCAGAGACAGGAGGGAAGTAAATAGCTTGGAACATAAGAATATTATATGATTCTAGGACACCAAAAGCATCATGCATTACCTGCCAGCAAATGTTGCTCCATGGGAAATTATAATCGAATGCCAGAGACAGGAGGGAAGTAAATAGCTTGGAACATAAGAATATTATATGATTCTAGGCTTTGAAAACCAATAAGATATCATGCAGCATTGACAAGATGTTATTTTGCAAATAACACAAAATAAGGGTCACTGCCTATCAAATTGACCCAATACATAAAGCAGTACCATAAGATCAATCTTAAGACTCTAAAATTATATTGAAACATTCCTCTCAGAAAGATCTTACTGACCTTGTAGCTTTCATTCTTTCCTCAATTTTTAAGATGACTCAAATGACTTACTAAATAACCAATTTATTTTTGTTTACTATTAGACATGATAACCTGTGGTAACAATGGCCAACGATGACATTGCGATAAAATTTGAACCTTTTTATTGGACTTCAGAACATACAAGAAGAAAAAATGGATGTTATTGGAGAAACCATGTAATGCCAAACATCTGCGGTATCTGTAGCTAGTTAAACTCCAAAGTCTCAGGGTCCTAAGGATAAAGAATATAGTCTGTGGACTAAAAGATTTGGCATCAATACACTCAACTTGGTCTTGTACAGCTTTCAGAACAAACATAAGTAAAAGAGTTCAACAATCCTGGAGTAAATGTAGGCAGACAAGTTTAAACTAATTTAACAATATCCATATAGAAAAGTTGATTCTTCTGATGATTTGTTCACAGCATTGACATAAAAAAACTGCTATATTCAAAACAATAAAATGAAAACAGGTGGAGCTTACAACAGATGCAAATATTGTTGCAGCAGCAAATATGGAACTTCCCAAACCATCTTGGATTCCAATGGCTGCTGCAAGTGCAGTAACTGTGGCTGAATGGGATGAAGGCATCCCACCAGATCCAATCAGTAGTTTAGCATCCCAGCGTCTTTCCCTGTACCTGCAAATCTAGTAGAAGAGCTCTTAGGTAAAAAGAAAAAAGGATTTCCTGATTTACAGAGCTATATCTAGGAAGATCCAATAACTCAATAGTATTATGAAGTAAACCTTTATTTGTATAGAGAAAGAAAGTAGAAATGCTACAGTAGCATTAGTATGTCAGATCAGGCCTCTATCTTCTTAAATGACCTTAGCATCTCAAGACCAGATTAGTGGCAAATCCATCAAATTGAACAGATGGCAGCTATTTATGTGGAGAGAAAAAAAAAAAAGAATTGTAGTACTGGTACATGAGAATCCCCTGAAATATCTCATGGATGATGTCAGTTTGTCCTTTCTGGAATTTTTTTTCTCAAATATATATTGGAAGTGCTAACGCAGAGTAGTCAATGGCTCAAGATGCCCTGAAGCACTAAAGTTGCCTGGATCCTAGATGCTAGGCAAGGAGTGTGATCGAGTGACGCGAACTACAATTATAGAAGGAATCTACAAAAAGATATTCTTGAAGTAAAATAAATCAAGAACTGAGATTCCGTTTATCTTTCAAAAATATCTTATACAAATCATGTACAGGCAGTAGTTTGAATGGAAAACAGAAAAATGTAGCAATAAAGTTGTCTATAACCATCAGAAAGTAGAAATAAAAACTGACGAATGGATGTAAAAGAAGATGTTGAGAGTCCATCCAAATATGTAGCTCAGTTTGTCCCACCCCTCCTTTCATTCCGTAAATTGAGGCCATGGAAGAGTACTAAGACCAACAGTGATCCCACTTTATGTTCAGATTATGTTTTTACATACTCAATGCTTATCAGAGCAGAGCACACCCTCCCGTAAGGTCACAATATACCTTTTTCTTTAAATTTGTCCTTTTTTACCTGAGGTAAGCAAAAGGCCCTTTTCTAGAAAGGAAAAGAACCATAATAGAGGAATTCAAGCATGGGCCCTCTTGAGAGAGTGAGTGTAACGCATATAAATCAAAATCAGAAGAATAAACCTGAATTCCAAATCCAAATTGGAAATTTTGGCCCCAACGAAATCGTACCAAGGACTACAACATCTAAATTAAAACTTTCCCGATCAGAATAGCAAGAAATTCCCAAAAATCGACTAATTCAACATCAAAATCATCGACCGAGCATAGATCCAACCAAAACAGCACAAAAAGGAGAACTTGATTCTCGATCCGCTGAATGAATCAACAATTCCATAATCCTCCATTCAAAGATCAAGCAAATCGTGTAGAAATCCCAACAGACCGCAACAACAGGCTCGCAGCTGAAGCGAGCGCGTCTCGCAATGGAGGGTGCCGAGAAGTACCAGGTCATGAAGAACTTGATGGATTGGGCGACGGCGAAGGAGACTATCGCGGAGATCAGCGGGTAGTTAAGTAGGACGTACGAATAAGCGCTCGAGGAGGAAGGAGATGGCGGCGAAGGCGAACTCCGGGCGTCGTCCATCGATCCTCCTCCTCCCTCTCTCTTTCTCTCTCTCTGTTTCTTCCCCCTCCGCCTTCCCTCTTCCCCTTCTCCCGATCTCGATCGAAGCTAATGGAACGGAGGGCGGTCTTTAATAATTATTTATTAATTAATTGAAAATAAAAAAAAATAAAGAGGGCTGAGCCAACGGTCAATAGTCTTCACTCTTACAATTTGCATTTTCCCCCCTCCCAAATTCCACAATTAGACTATGCACCTTCTAAATGTTACAATATATATATATATATATATATATATATTTGAAATGTTACAATATATATAATGTTACAATAATCTGTATGTTATTGAAACGTTTCTTTTAGAATGTTATGGTGAATGCACAAAGTTATTAAAAAATAAAAATATTTTTATTTGTAAATAATTAAAAATTACTTTGATGAAGAATAAAATAAGAGAATCATTTAAGATGGAATAGATACATTGTATTATAATTAATTAGAATATGTGAGATAATTAATATTAGTAGTGAAAGCCAAGATAGTGGAAAGCCTAAGAAGAATTTATTAGATACTATAAATAAAAATTTAAGTGCTCTTAGATTAATTAAAGATAATGCGTTGTACAAAATTCAATGAAGGAAAAAATGATTTATATAATGAGCCTCACAATTTAAGTTGAATAAAACTAAATACTCTGCCATATTGTGGAGCTTATTATTATGTCATTTCCCCAAGATTACTTTTGAATGATTACTTCTGTAGTTATGTGAGTGTATAGGTTACTTCACCTTAATGAGTAGGGCTATGTTTTAGGGTTGCATGGTCAAACAATAAATAGAAAAAAGCTTATTTTGCATGAAAAAATGAAGAATAAGCTGGTCTCCACATCCTCTGATCACAGCTCATCTTCATTGGAATCAAAATACTTCGTCTAATTTCATGTTTTGTGGAATGATGATTCTGTTCAATAATATTTTGATCAGATTTGTTCTTTACTGATTACTGCATCTACTGTGTTGAACCTCAAATCTGCTCCTCTTTTTTTTTTTTTCTGGATTTTAGCTGCACAAATCATCCAAACTTTTCTTAGGTTTCTGTTCAAGGGGAAAGCCTAAATGATATGTTCAAGGGGAGAGCCAAACCTTTCTTAGGTTTCATGTTTCAAGGATGCATCAAAGCTTTTAAAGCAGCTTATGCTTTTCCTGTGATCTCAAAACTGGCTTATGAAACACATGATGTAATGCCACTCAAACGTGACAATAATATGGTTTCCAAACACAATGTTCATATGGTTCAGTAGTTTCATGAGCAATGTCTTGCTACAGTCCTCTTCTTTTAAGCATATCCTGTCAACACACATGCACATATAGCATCAGAGAATCCTAATACTCAACAAGCAAGTCTGCATCCTCATTCCTGCATGTTCAGATGCAGAAATCTAGCGATCAAGTATGTCCACAAATGCATTGAACTAAAGAGGCCATGAGTGCATGAAGTATTCTGTTGTGTCATCAATTCACCAACTGGATCTCTGTTCAGAATCTAAAAACATGATTCAGAATCAGCATTTTGAGTTATAATACACAAAAGGTACTTTTTCTAGAGAGACAACAGGAAAGAAGAGGAGAAAAGAGATCTAGTTTAATATTTTCAAGTACAAATATATCATAGTTCCTGTTTGGTATTTAACCCATCTATGGAAAGAGAAGCAACTAAACTGGAACCAAAGCCATGGTTTGATTGGGTGGGTCAACAGTGAGAAATAATGAATAAAAGATGCAGTTTATGGTGAAGTTTTCTTTTTTTTTTCTTATTAAAGTAGGATGATGCAGAGAATACATTCAATGATTTTATTTATGGTTTCTTACAGTTATTTTTTTTCAAATATTTCAGAAAATAACTTGGTGTCCATTCAATGGTCGCCCTCTTCTAATGAGTGTCTTTGTTTCAAACTCTATTATGCCAACAAAAAAAAAAAAAACAGAATATAGATCTTTCTTATTTTTCACAGCATGAGATAGAAAGTAATGCTGTATGCAGCCTACAATTTAACCATGCTGGTGTGGAAGTACTTGAAATGAAATCCCTAAGAACATCATAGTAGTTAAAGATTGCAGACATACAAGAATGAACACAAGATAGTGAAATTTAATGCCTCAATAAGCTGTTAAATTACCTTGGAAGTGATAATTTTGCTCTTTTACACTGATGCTGTCGACCTTTATTAACCACTGATGAACTTCCAGGAGGCGCTTAAGGTAGGCTAAAGCTTATCATGACGTGTCACGGATGACAGATCCCTCAGATCTTGGCTGCTAACAAGCTTACCCTGCATGTTTGCTTTTCTAGTTAGTACAAGCAAATAACAGGATAAATCCATTCCAAAGCATACTCCAAACTAAAGGGCATTTGAATGACCATCTCAGATATTTGCAAGTTGTAATACAACAATCCAACCAATCTGAAGTTATAAAGTAGTAAACGAAAAACGAGCAACAAACTTATAGAAGAAAAAGAAAGACATCGGAATCAGCACAAGACCAGGCATTGACTTCACAAGATTATGCCACCAACATCGGTTAAAAACTAACAAATGAATTTGGACAAGGGTTATATGCTGATGCCTTCCTGAAATTATGAACACCTCATTCACGGAAAAGAATGTAGATAACATCTAAAAACACTAGAATAAGAGGGAAGAGAATCTAACAAATGTTGCAGTTGTCACAACATTGCAATTGGATTCCAAGGGACCTCCCTACATCACAGTGCAGTTGCACTTGGATTCCAGCTTTGGGGGCTTCATGCTGTTGATCATTTGTAAATCTTCAGCACTGGAAGATACAAGCTCCGGATAGTTGCCATCATTTCCCAAGTCCATGGGTGGCTTCTTGGTATCAATTTCCAGCCTTTTCCTTTTGACTTTCCGTGAATTTTTTACACATTTATTGGATGTATTTTGAAAATCCATCTGATAGGAAATAGATTTTGCTAAACGTGTCACTGTTGGGCGAGAAGCGTCGGATGCAGCCATCTCCTTTTCCATTCCAATGGCTGCAGCTTTATAGGCCAGATCATGAACAATAGAACTGCAGAAGAGCACAGTGTCGGTTGCTTCTTCCAAAGTAAAGGTTCTTTGCATACTTCTCCTCGGAGCTTCAACTTTTGCGTGTGGTTCTGAAAGAGACGAGTGTTAGTAACAAAATCAAGTAAATTATCATACTATCTTGTTTTAGTAGATAAATGGCATTAAATGAGACATAGCTTAGGTTCTTGAAGTACAAATGCAAACCGACAACAATTACATTCTTTGCTTTGAAGATAGATGGTAAAAACATCATTCAAGTTTTACTCTTGGCTGCACTCTGCAGGAAGTTTACACATCTGTACTGCTAAAACTCTTGGTTTCTAGATGCATCTAAGAGAAGTTATCATTGCATCATCCAAAATTAATCAATTTATATAGATGCAAAAGTTAAACTACATACTGCAATGAGGATGTTTGGCACAGTTAGATTCTGATACAGAAACCAACATGTCCTTGTCAGATATTGCCAAAGAAAAATCACCTTGGAGACCATCCATGTAAGTAGGTGCTTCGCCATGTGCCTGCTCATTTTGTGCATCCTGAAAACAATGTTCAATTTGCTGCTCCAAAAGTAAATTAGAAGAGCTGTTACTTGCAGCATCCAAGATGTCATCTTGACATCCGATATCATTTAGCATGTGATTATCCTCAATGGAAGAGCAATCCGGAGTAGTAATTGGCACCTCTAATTCTAAATCCAGGATTCCCACTCTATCATTCTGGAATACTACTTCATTAGTTTTTCTGGATAAGGTGCTGTTGTCATCATTTAAATTATCTTGGATTGTTGCATCATGCAATTGAAAACAAAATTCTGGATCCAATATTGGTGCGCAGGAGGTATCTTGACCTATAAAAGCCTTTTCAATGGATGCATTTTCCGCATGGCTTAAATTAGTATCTTCATAGGTGTTGACATGGTTTGCAGTATCCAGAGACGCTTCTTGAATATCCTCATTATAAGCAGACTTCATAATTCTACAAAGAATTTTTTCATATTTTCTGTGAAGGTTAGCTGATGCCGCTGTGACACTGACAGAGGCTTCTGATTGTGAATCGTTGCTTTCAGCATTCATACTATAATTGATTTTCAAAGTGTCCACCTCATCCATCCTTCTGCTTGACTGGCGTAGAACACAGATGTCTGTTTTCCTAGATGCCACTGTTTGTGCAGATGAACCCAAATCAATGGAGGAAGAAGCTGAAGAACTTTCCCTACCGGTGTTGCATTTCATGCCACTAAAATTATCCCTAGAATATGAAGGGTCAGAACAAATTATACTTGTAGCAGAGTAAGCCCTCCTTTGCACAGCAGGCCATTTGATGCTGCTAGACCTTTGCATTACCAGTGCTGAAATGCCTGTGCCCTCAGCAATGTCAAATGTTAGGCTAGAATATGCAGTTGGATTTGATAGTTGAGGAATATATCTACCAGTAGCTTCTTTAGGACTCTCTCCATCAAGGCTATTCATTAATTGTTCACGAAGTGGTTGATCTCCTATATTTATCAAGCTATTCATTACCTGTTCCGGAAGGTGTTCAAGCCCAACGTCTATCGCTATCTGAGGTGGACAATTGTCTGGGAAAAGATTAACATCCTGTTTACAATTGCATTGATGTTTACCAAGTAAAAATTCACTCTGATTCTTATCAGGACGTTCAGCCATTCCCATTTGGAGATGCACTTTGCTATCTGGTGAATCCAGTGAATCATTTCCAGTTACATCAGTAGCTTTATCTGGATCGCCCCGTTGTCCTCTGGAATCCAATAGCTTATCTGTTGCAGCACATTCTTGGCAAATATCCTTGTATCCATCCACATCTATGATAAGGAAATGTTTTCCACATATTAAGCAAGCAACATATGATCCGATCCCAGAACATCGAGCAATATCTGAAGATTGAAGTGCAGTTTCACCAGCAGAACTTTCTAGTTCCTGAACATCATCTTCTTTGTTCATGCCTTGATCAAAACCTTTGGTGCCACCCCGAAGTTTTCCAGAAAGAGCATGATAACAGTTATCTTCACTTATCTCATCAAAGTTACTCATAGACACTTCTTGGGTTTTAGAATCTTTTATCTTTTCTGATTCACCAGCCAGATCACTTTGGGCATGATCACTATCCTCCACATCAGCAGCATAGTTCAAATCATTTATGGTGCTTGCATTATGATTAGTAAATTGTGACAAACTCCTAGAGAACGTAGTCCCATGTGTTGTTTTACCAACATAAAATGTAGTGGCAGGGACACTTGACATGAGTGGCCTGAACATGTTCTGGGGGATTTTCTGGTGATCCTGCAAAAGGACAAAACAACATGGAAACTTCATCATGATGTTAGAATTAATAGTATATTGCTTCAATAGAGCTATTATAGATAAAATCGGATGAATTGCATAGATCACATCAACATAATATGTAGCTGGTGAAGTTTGCCAATACACGTATGTAATTCCAATGATCCCTAAATGAATAAGCTACAAGGATCTTGATGCAATATTTTCAAGCATGTTCAAAAAATATACTTGCTGAACATAGTTGACTGGTTCTCTTGATTTTTGTCACAATCAAATAAGCTAACATAAAATTATGAAGTCACCATATCATATATAAATAACTTGCCAAACCAAGGAACTAGAGATCTGAAAGACACGATCTTATACTTGTGGCTCCCAAATTCCTAATTGAAATCTAATTTACTTAAACATTCAGATTTTATAAGAGAAATATGATGTGAATATCAGCGATGGTTACATAAGAATCACTGTTCATGACTAGATAGACAATATGTCTATTTTGAGAAAATTTTTAATGTGACCATGTCTGGACTAGTTAAAATTCAACATGAAGAAGAGAATTCAGTTGCAATATTTTTGGCACCTTGTTGTAACATAATATTTTGTAAGCAGCTTTAGCTTGCAAAAATTTTAGCACTCTAATTATCATTTTTTTCTCTTAATGTAAGAATTTTCTGAAATTTTACATAATCAAGTCTTGAATAGGTATATAGAGAATATTATCCAAGGAACACATCAACACCATCAATAAATGGTTTGTTGTCTCTGAAGAGACTAGAAGAATTGTTAGATGCATTCACAAACTCAATCTCAGTACTTTGTTTTATAATGCACAAGATATTCCCTGATGATACACCATCAGAAAATATCTACAAATCAGGAAAAATTCAACTCACAAGTAGCTATATTGCAGGATCACCATCAGATAGTATTCATAGAGGCCTCATGTATATTTAATGTCACAGAGTTAGGTATAAATTTTCCAAATAGTTGCAGATACAAGGTCATATAGTAATAAAATATACAGTAGGTTAAATATAAGTGAAACGAAGAAATCAAGCTAGTGCTGGCACCACTCCTGTTGTTCAAATCAAGAAAGAAATGCTTTATGAGCCCCAAGAATTAGCCTCCAAATAGAAAAGAAGTATGGAGAAATTACATTTTTAATTAATGCAGTAAGCCAGCCCATTGACATGCAAAATAAAGTACATATATCTTTAGCTGAAAATGGTAGAAATGTTCCAGAAGAAACTTACTATCTGTCTTACTGCAGAATCCAAAGACCTTCTTGGGCCAGAACCTGAAGAGGGAAAACTGGAAGGTTTCCTGTAATTTGTGATAGCCTTACTGTTTGCAGAAGCACCATATTTTCTAACTGCAGCGTTACCAGATAGTCCAACAGAGAGCACTGAATCCACACCATCATCACCAGAAGATGCTAAAGAGGCCTTATTGCAAGAGGTAAACTGGTGACTTTCATGATTGTGTGACGAGCGGGCCTTTGTAGATGCTGATGGTGACATTGATCGCCTTCCAACTTTTGAAGATGAAACCATTGAATTTCCAGAAGCTGGAGATGAACCCCGAACACGTGAAGATAACCGGTCTGGCAGAGAAGTGCGGTAATTTGGTGGTGCATCAATAATGGGGAAACTGTTAGATTGCCAGCCTCTTAATTTTGGTGATGCAGAATGACCCCGGTTCATATTTACCGGGGATGTTCCCCTTCTACCAGAAGTGGATGTCTGTCCACTTAGACCACTACTCATCCTCTGTAGTGTGGGAGTTGAAGACCTGGGAGTCAGTGTTGAAGGCTTGGTTGGAGTGGAAGATCTTTGTGAGGGGGTTGTTTGTCGTATAACAGGAGAGGTGTAGTGAGGAGGTGAAGATGGTCTGGCAGATGGTTGGACTACACCATAGCTTGATTGAGGAGACAGGCTTAACCTTTTGGGGCTTGCACTACTTCTACTTGTCCTCTGAGTCTTCTCATTCTGTAATAATAAACCAAGTATCAAATGCATTACAAAAGAATTATATATATGCACTTAAGCTGCTAAATGATAACACAAATATGTTCAGAGGATTATTGCTTACCGTATAAGGTCTTGAAATCAAAATTGGCTGACTTCGTATCCTTCCCCTAGAAGTGTTAAGTGGTTGAGACTCATCATCCAGTGATGGAAAGAGGGGAGTATCCGGAGGTGTTAAAAGCCTGCTTCATTTGAAAAATTAAAGAGCCACAACTTTGAACAGCTAAAAAACTACAAAAAGCTCATTAAAACAAAAGAAAGAATTCAGGAGACAGTTTGCCTAATTGCAACTTAGACTTCAAGATAAACTTCAAATGAACAAGAAGGCTGAAAAGTGTAACAAGTTTAAGAACCGTTAGCCATATGACTTCTCTAGAGACTTGTTTATGTAACAAATCAATAATGGAAGGGATTTGCTTTTGGTCGAGCTTTGGTCTTAAAATGCTGGTTTTTGAATCAAGAAGGTTAAACTGCTGGTTAGAGTTTAACCCACCAAAGACTATGTATACCGAGGCTTAAAGTAACCCGGTAAAAAAGGTCTACATTGAATAACACAGGTTAAGACAACCCTTTGAAATTGATGGATTCAGTAAATGTCCATCAGCTCATTTGCTCACCTATGTAGTTAGCTGAATTATTCTAATAAAACCCAAACCAAAAACAACATTATCATGAGGACTCACCAATCATAGTCATTTTTGTCACCATCTATGTCCAGTAGACCACTGGCCTCTCCTTCAGCTGGAATAGTTATGCCGAGCTTGAGGTCTGAAGTGTAACCAAATTTTGCTGGTTATATTAGAAGAAACAGTTAATAATTCAGTATTTATAGAAGTATAAGAATGCAGAAAAAAATACTGATTCGAGAACAAAAGAGTAGGATGTAATTACTTATGGAGTCATCAAAATCGTCAGACATATGTAGCAAGAAGTTGTCTGTCTCATGCTTCTGCATCTCATGGAACAAAACAAGATCGTCATCTTTGGCCTTGAGCAGCAATCCACTTTCAAAACTCTGGCCCCTTGTATGGGAACTCCCCTTTCTCAGTTCTATCCCAGGAGAGCGCCTCAACGAGGGTGAAGGTGGCATCTTTCAGTATCCTAGTCAAAAGGCTGCCTTACTTCCACAGCCTAAAGCACCACCACATCGATGATTCGCTCACACACAGTAGTGGCTTTCATCAGCAATACTATCATCCTGATGCAGCAAAGTTACGATCTTTATTGTTCAACCGAGGAGAAAAGGCTATGAAAAGTTCTTTTAAAACACCAATTCAATTCAACCAGTTTGTTTCTTCTAAAAATTTGGATAGTTTCTAACGAGTGGTCCTTCAATCCGTTGTTCAAACTTGGATTTCCGATCAAGTCGGAAATAGAATGATATACTCAATCAAACTGTCCAGAAACAAAGGAAGAAAAAGCTTAAAAGAGAATTTTATCAAAAGATGAAGAAGAACTGAGTCTTTCCTACTAATCGCGCTGGACCAACTCCTCCAGCTACAAATGCACCCACATGGAAACCCACAATTCATCGTTTCTTTACCTCCGCACCTTTGTCCGCATCTGATGCCTTCCCGACGCCAACCCTCCGCCTAGGGCTTGTCCGCCATCGACCGACAGGCACGAAGGCTGGCGTCTTTGTCCTACCGCAGTCTCCCCCGGCGCGAACTCGAGGCGCAAACGAGCGGCATTCAGCAATCGATCCGGTAACGGAGCAGCGAACCGTATGGCAACGAAAAAAATCCCCACTTTCCAAGGATTTCGGGATCGGAAGAGGTCGAGAGGGGAGAAAAGGAAGAACTTGGAGGAGATTGGAAAGGCAGGGGCGCGATCTCGTTAGTCTCTCTTCTCTCGCCTCCCTACTGCGCTTTTGAAATAACTGCAGTTGCTCTTGAGGCAATCTTCCGCTCTCTCCGCACTTCACAGCTACTCCCTGTGAGTGATTTTTACGCTTCTCCAATCCTTTTACCTCTTTTCTTCCCTTTCTACTTCAAGTAAAGAAGATGAAGTTACTGTAATGCCATTGTAAGCTCAGACGTAACATTAGGAGGGAAAACACATACACGACTAAAACCAGCTGCTTCAACTTGCAATCCTCCTATAAAGTCTGTGGATGATTATGTTTTGATGTGGCAGAACCATAAACATATACTATTCAATCATTATGTTTGAGTTCTGTCAAGGGTGATATAAAGAAGATTTGTGCAAAACTGGATCTTTGTTTGAAGGATTGGAAAGCTCAGTGAACTTGGTGCTCACCATTAATGCAAGTCACATTACTGGGAATCACAGGCTGCTGAGACAAAGTATAGTTGGCTTTATGAGGGTCCTTCTGCTATCCATTAAAGCGGCAAGGATGATGGTGTGTCCATGGACAATGCACACTATAAAATGCTCTTTAGAGACTTTCTTGATGATGATGATGATGATAACAATAATATTTATGAAGGGGGCATGTGTTTGGTCTGCAAAGCTTCTCAGCATTCCTGATATGAAATTATACACAGAAAACAGTGTCTTAGGTTGTCAGGTGAGTGCAGATAAGCCAATGCAAGTCAGATCCAGCAGCATCAAATGGTTGGTTTTCCCAGTAATCATTGGGAATACTTCATACACACAGAGAGTCCCCATTGCCTGTTTGGCAAAAAGTAATGCCATTCACAAAAATTCCAAGTGAGCTGCACATGAAGCTCACAGAGGCACTGTGCCATCACCATCAGCTACCTGTACAAGAACATTAAATGCACCAATAATATTGCTTGTGGATCCTCCAGGTTTGCAGAAACAGGTGTTGAAGCTGTATCCTGAAGTGCATTATTAGTCTGCATTTGTGGAAGCTTGTGAATTAAGCTGATGCAAGATGCAAAGCTTTAAATTAGATGCAGTAATGGCAGAATTGAAAACATTACATCCCTGTTCACAAAACAATTACAAAAAGATTGGTTAACAAGATGAGATTTATCATTCAAAGAGGACTAAGAACACAGTACTCTTTAACAGAAAAGGCACAGAATAATACATCAGAGAATATATCTCTTTTCCATGATGAAGCACAATATGCCAGTGAGTAAAGAAGCCAATTGAGCTCAGAATTTGCTGGTGGTGGAGCATCTTTCAAGGGTTTTCAGCTTCCACACTCTTCTTCGTAGCATTGGCTCGGCTCTAACCTCCACCTTGTGCCCATGAGACTGAAGGCTTCATGTGACTTGCAATGCAAAAGCTGAGCAGGGATGAAAAGAGGAACAGTAGACTGTGTTGGTTTGGGGACCCCATGAAATGATGAGACAGTGAAACCAGTACATAATCAACAATGGATGCATAATGTGTTTGTTATCCATCACCTCTTTCTTTAATCAACCCACCATGATTTGGAGATCCCATTATGTCATAACCAGAGATTAGAAGACACTAAATATTTGGACTATAGCAATGACACAGCAATCATTGTGTGGGCTGGCTGACACCCATAAACAATTGTAGTCTTCACAATGAAGGTTTTAATTTGGATCAGGTGGCTTTATCCATTTGCCTTGCTGGAAGTGTCTAGCTGGAGAGCTCAAGGACATGAACTAGTCAACAAAAGGGACCCCAAGAATGATGAAGCTTGACCATATGAGTTGTTTCAATTTGGAAAATGTTGATCCTGGCCTAAAGATGTTGAAGTACCAACACAAAGTTGCTTATATAAATCATTCTCTTTTTTTTTTTATTATTGACTTGAGTATCTTACCATTATACTCCTAAAATTTGAATTGGATTGATGAATCAGGTATAAAAATCAAGAATTAAGTTCTTAATCCATTTGATCCATTAATTAGATTTTTTTGAATCTTAAATAGATTGAAATATCCTTCATTTTTATTTACTGTCAAACATATTTAATTTTTTTGGATAATTAAGTTTTTTTTATTATAAGGAAGAAAAGATGAAAACTCTTTTCTGACATTCTCTTTCACTGTATTGTATACATTATTTTTATAATATTATTTATATATTTTAAAAATTACTAAATCTATAATCCGACTAGTTAAACCCATTGATTAAGATTTGATCAACTCAAAATCCGATCTTGCTTCGATAACTATTGTTTCAAAACGTTTTACGTCTCGTATAATATATCCAGCTTCATTATTTTTATATAATAAATATAAACAAATTATTCATTTTGAAATGAGTTTTAGTTTATCTTAATCAACATATATTATATTTAATCTCTTATATAAATGTTCCAACTTGATTGGGAGACAAAAAAAAAAAAGTCAAGGTGAGCAAAAATTTGTAATCCTTTTTTAAATAAGCAAATCATATGTCCCTTTGCTATCTATGTATTAAATTAAATCTATTTTTGTTTATAAGCAATTAAATCCTTTTTTTTTCTTGGATCCAAGTCTTCTTCAAGCCTCTCTTGAGCAATAAATACTTGTGTCCTTCTTGTGGTTCAAGTAGCCTTAATCCTTATATTATTATAGGTTCTAATGACCTCAGGTTGAAACTAAACCAAGCATTTAACACATCTAATAACAAATAGATATACCACAATTAATTCCTAACCAAATTAACTATCCTTAAGAGTAGACTCAAACTTGGCCCGTAAGCAAAAACCAAAGCGAGTCCAAATCGATTGCAACTCGACGATCAAAATAATCTGTTTTGTTCCTCCATGGAGCTACTTGCTAACTCAACTTGGATTCATCTCATACTTAGCTCTCAAGATTAAAAGTTAATTTGTTCTATTCGAAGCCTTAAAGATTCAGGTTTGTGCTTGATGTTAATCAAAGTAAATGATCTGAATTGGCTCCATACTTCCTCTAAATCGGTCCTCATCACTCATCAGCCGTCATTCCTACGTCGACGGAGAAGATGTCACCGGCTTTGTTGCCGTGGGGAACGAGACCGTCGGCTGAAAGCGGCCGATCATCAAATCACGTCTGATCCCCCCACGTCGACCAACCGACGGTCGACACGTTGGTTCAACGGTGCCGTTCGCCATCAGGCCGGATGGGCCTCCGTGTTACTTGTGTGAATGAGTTCTCGTGGGTCCCGTGGTTACTGTCTTGGGTACCCAACAATCACCATCACCTTCTCGCGTCTCACCAAGCGGACCCCACTACAACGAATCATCGGAAACGTGGAAAGGATGTACCGAAAACATTTATCTTAATCCTGTCGTCCCCGTCCGGCGTACCGGCCCCGAGATTGGAATCGAGAAATGGGTCCACATCCACCAATCACGACGCCTCCAGGTGGGTCCCATCCGCGACGCATAATAACGTCATCTGTCCTTCGTTAGACCCACGTCGCCCTCGGCTCGCTCCACGTGTCCTCCTCCGTCCCCATGGCGATGCCCATAATAGCAACAACCAACCAACCCCGACTTCGCGTCGCTTGGTTCGTCTCTATCCCCCTGTGATCTGGCCACGTGTCCCGTCTCTCGAACCTACCCCTTCGCCTCCCTCGTCCTTTCTTCTCTCCACCGGCCCGTGTGCCCCCTTCCGGCGTGCGACACTCTGCGCCATCCCATTGGCCTCGTACCCTCCTCGCTCTCCGACACCGCCCCGCCTTCGTTATCCCCTACACTGTGCCTTCACGTGACGTCCCCCTCGTCGCCCGCCACCTGTCCGCCTCCCCCAATCGCAGAGCGAGATGCCATCGCTCCACGTCGCTCGGGAGGACACGCGTCGACCGCTCGCCCGCTATTTAAGGCTCCTCCTCCCGACTTCATCTCTCGGTAGCTCTTTTTTGAAGCAAAAGGGTGGAGATGGAGAGGAGAGGCGGTTGCTTGATCGCCATGTACGGCGGAGGCCGGGACGCCGACGTCGCGTGGAAGGTGGGGCAGATCATGCTCAGGTACCGTCCGATCGCCCCCAAGCCTACCTCCCCCGCCGGTTCCCCGAAGATCTCACCCGTTCCCGCTGAGACGCGGGCCGCGGCAAGGAGGCCAAAGAGGAAAGGATCCGCCAACCCTAGCGGCGGCGGGAGGGGGAGGAAGACCGGGAAGGTCGATGTGACTGCGGGGTCGTCGTCGTCGATCAACGACGATGAGAAGTCGTCTTCGACGACGGCGTCCTCGTCGATGATCGTGACGCTGCCATTGATGCCGGAAACGCCGGAGAGGCAGTGCGAGCTGGCGGAGTCGCCGAGGAAGCCTTCGAGCCCCATTACTCCTGATGCGGCGGCGTTGCCGCGGGTGGTTCCACCGTGGATGGGGCAGAAGCAGGTGGGAGGAGCGGTGGTGGCGTTGGGGTCGTGGGTGACGGTGGCATGCGTGACGGACTCGTGGCGGGAGGAGGATGTCCCATGGAGGAGCGACGAGGCAGTGACGGCAGCGCTGGCGTTGGACGAGAGCCCCGGGTTCGTGTCGGACGGGTGGGACCGAGTGATGTGGACCAACGAGGCGTACCGGCGGATGGTGATGGGAAGGGAGGAGGGGGAGGAGCAGGCGGAGGAGGTGAAGGTGGGACTGGTGACGGGCGGGTTAGTGCCGGCAGCGGCGGCGTGCCGGGCATTCACGTGCCGGGTGCGCGTCAGGCCGGGGACGGAGAGGACCTCGTCCTCGCCGCTGGCGGCGCCGTGTGACGTGTGGAGGCTGGACAGCGGCGGCTGCGCGTGGAGGCTCGACGTCAAAGCGGCGCTAAGCCTGAGCTTGTAAGACACGGTGGAGAGCGGAAGGGAAGAAGAATGTATGTAAATAGTTCTGGTATATGTACGGCTTATCTACGGTGACAAATACAGGTACATCAACTGCTACCAAAACCTCATATCGTTGTGTTCTTCCTCCTGCGACTATCTTCTGCTTCATCTATTCCGGAACTGAACCAGCTAATCCCTGTTTCCTCCACATAGCATCACATTAAATAGAAAGAAGACGACTGTACCTAAACCAAGTTTGCGATCAACGACTCAAAACCAGTCCATGGGTTTTGAAATCAACGTCACAAGGACGAGAATCCGATGTCATGGGTACTATTCTTTGATGCTTGTGTGTGGATTTACGTGGGGCAAAACGTGATCACTCCATTTTACGTGCTGCTGCGGCTATTTGTTTGCTTGAACCAGGAGAGCACACAGATTTGAGGGTCAAAAACAGGAGGGAGAAGCAGAAGCAGAGGATGTTGCAAAGCTTACGAAAGGGAAGGGAAGACACCGATGACAAAAGGAGCAAGAAGGAGTTCATGCATTCTCTATATTATTACTGAAAGGACCATCACATTCCAACATGTAATACGATCTACAGGATAATTGGATATTGACCGAGGGCTTAGGTTATGTAACACATGTTGACCATCGATCATAACTATAACTCTAGCAATACAGAGAACAGGTGTCCTCGGTTACGAAACATTGATCCATCTCGGTCCGATTAATTGAGTTTTCCTATCCAGGCTTGATTGCATTCCGATCAACTCTCATCATCTACTGATACCGGCATCGCACGTAAGCGATGACGATGCATGACTCTCCTTTGGTCTACAAGTCAAACAGGAACAATACCCATGACGTCGACAATGGCTCTCGGTGGGTCTCCAAGTCAAACAAGAACAGTTCCCAGGACGTCCACAGTGTGGCACCAAAGTGGCTATAAATTCGATCTCGCACAAAGAAATTGACTCGACAGAGTCATTATTTCATAATTATTGTTCAATTACGATTTCATGATTGATTGTTTATTGCTACGTGTTTTCTTTATATATATATATATATATATATATAAACATTATTAAATCTCAAAGACCCAAAATGCATGGCCGATAAATATGAAAGTAAATACGTGAATACCAATCGGTTCGGAGCCCATCATATGTCGGACAATCATTTAACGCTTCTAAAATAATTAATATACTCGAACAATTTTCACAAAGAGCAGCAAATTAACATATTTATAAATAATAAAGAAACTACCTCCACACTCAAATGTATCGTGGTCTCATTCATCGAGGATTGGAACACTCCTCTTATGGTCGTTACTACTTTTGGTGACTCTCGTAAATCAAATATCTAATAATCTATCATAAAATTTGATAAAATATAAAAATAAAAAATAAAAAGGGTAAAAGTTTTAATAAAATAGTCTCAGTGATTTTTCATTCGATCATCTATCAACGGACAAAGACCGATTAATTTTTCATCGTGACAAAGAGAAATTTACTAATGACTAGTAAAAGAAATTTACTAATGACTTTGTATCTTGAGATAGAAGAATGCATATTGGTTTTTTTTTTTTAATTGATTTAATGCTAATTAATGGTAACAAAATAATAATATTATTATTGTTAAATTGATGTGCTCATTTCGGGGGAAAAAGACTGGTTTTGGCGTTCTAATCCGACACAGACCAAACAACGGCCGAGACCGAAAGCATCAGCATCAGCACAACTCACAAAGCACAGGAAAAACCTGAGGCGTCCGCCTTCGCTAATGGGCCAAACAACGGTCCAGATCAAACATTGGGACGAATCATAAAGCACAGAAAACACACGAACCGTCCACTTCCCTGGATGGACCAAATAACGGTGCAGATCAAATCACACAGCTTTCTGCTTTGGTTATTCCACCCACTGTCCCCACTCTTACGGAGTTTCCAAAGAACCTCCAAATCTCGTCCTATTTAGTTCACTTTCTCCCCCTCCTCCGGCGGCCATTCCGACCTGCTGCTCCGATCTTCCATCCTCTTCGTCCCTTCTGCGCCTCTCCAGAACCGTAATGGCGGCGGCACCTCGCATCGTCTTTACCCGCCCTTCTTCGATCCCGGCCAAATTCGCAACTCCCCGGAGGTCGCTGCCACTGCAGAGCTTCTCCCCCGCCGTCGGACGCGGACTCCTCGCCAGGTCCTCGGTCCTGAGCTCCGGATTCAGATCCGATGGTGCTGCCTACATCTCCGGTAACTGTTTCTTTTGCTTGGTACTTACTCTTCGTCCTTGGGTTTTGTCTTTCAGGTTGTTTCTTGGCTCTCGAATTCTCGTTAGTTGCTGCAAAATGGTAAGTTTGAGTTTCGGATGTTGATTGGAGGAGAAAAGTTCTGTTTAGTCAATATTAGACTAATCGATCGAAGAGCTCCATCTTTCAAACAACTCTCTGCAAAGCGGCATAAAAGAATCTCTTTCTTACTAGTGGTGCTAGGAACATGAAAAGGTTTCATTGATTTTTAATTTATCATGGTTCAAGTTTGTTGATCTGTGCTCGAAGTTGGTTCGATGACGTTCCTGCATGTTGGAGAAACAAAACCACTCATGTCTGACCGTGTTATGCATGTCTGTTGCTCGATTGTATTAGTAACAAGCAAATTTTCAACCTAGTTGTGTGAGTAACTAGTTGCATTTGATCTCCTATCTAGTATTACGACTGAGTAATTTGGATTATGATCTTACTACAGGTGGTAAGTTGTTAACATCTTCTTCATGGTTTGCTACCCTGAGAGGAGGTCTCTTAACCTTTCTACGGTGCTAGTATATCGCTGAGAGGCTGAAAAGTATAGGTCAAAAACAACTACTACTTTTATTTATACTTTTGATGATAAATAAATTGGTAAAGATAGGTTTTGAACCAAGGATGTTTTTATTAGAGGTGAAGATCTTTACCGACTTAGTTAGATAACACCATCTTGAAATGTGGTAAGAATGAGTAACTTGGCAAAGACAAGCTAAAATGTATGTGAATAAGTAACTTACAAATTTGATCCATCCATTTCAACTGCTATACACAGTGAGACTTTTTCTCAAATTTGCCTGGTTCATCCATTTTTAGTGATATGCCTAGTAAAATCCATTTTCAATGCAGTATATCACTATAGGGTCCTCGTTGTAAAACTTAATATTACACCTTGTATAACTCCTACACTTCAAAAAATCTCCATTATCCATATTATTGATTGCATCAATGTACCTTCTTTCATTTTTAGAAATCCACTTAATTAATTATGTGAGGGTTTCTTTATAGGCTTCCACACATCCATGACATTCATATGCAAGTCATTTTTCATCTTTATTTTGTGAAGATGTTCATAATATGTGTAGTTTATGACTGGAGATCATTTTGAAGATTTTGGCAATATAGGTCGTTGTTGCCTGAGCTCCCAATTATAATGGTTGTGTAAGTTAAAATGTCTGCCAATCTATAATGATGTGCTTGGCACATGTTTAAATTTCCACTATTCATTAAAATGCTGTATATATGTTGTGTTCCTCCACTTTAGCTATGTACGTAGTTGCTGTTTTCATCAAACACTCACATAATTGTTAATAGCATTGTAGCATCCAAAACTGCACCTATGAATAAATTCATTATTAGCATTGATTTTTCATTTTTACTCCTCTTGAATGTTTGTTAGCATGTAAATATAGTTATTTTTTTAAATATTTTCTGTCCCAAGTATCTTTGGTTTTTTGTGGAACTGGCCATGTTTATCTTTGGTCCATTCGTTAATGGCATATACAGGTGTAAGGACTCATGTTGCAGCTGTTGAGCAAGCGATTATTGTTGAAGCTCAAAAAGTGGAAGCACCTGTTGTCATCATCACTGGAGCTTCTAGAGGTATAGGAAAAGCGATAGCCCTAACACTGGGCAAGGCTGGTTGCAAGGTCAGTTGATATATTATATCTCATGATAGAAATAAGACCACACATACTATGCTCTTTTGTAATAGAAGATGAACCATGATTTTATTCTCTTTTGGTTCTACCCCTTCTCAATGTTAATGAGGCCACTTAATTCCTTGAAATATCTCTGCCTACAAATTCATGCAACCAATCAGCCGTCTTCTCATATGCCTTGCACTAGACATGGAAACCATTGTTGTCAACCACAAACTTAATTTCCGTAAAACTAATGAGGATCATTATTAGCCTAGGGCTTAAGAGCAGTAATCAGGATTGGCCATTTTGTGATTTTTTATTTTATTTTGTGAATTTTCATTTGCAAGATGTATTTCAACTTTGCTCCACATGATCAATGGACATTTTCTTTTGTGATATGCTAGTTTGACAAGTTTAAATTTATTGAAATTTTGCAGAATTTGTATTCTGGGCCTTTTAGTTTACTTATACATTTTTAACTGACATTATAAGCATTTGTTAAACATTCTAAAGAATTTATATATTTTCTGAAAAACATCTTTTTAGACGTAAAACAAAGATAGAAAAGATGTGACTTACAGGAGATACAGGTTTAACCCATAATCTGCTGACACTCCTTGCAAGTCCTGGGAATTCAAGCACAGAGTTAGGAGAATTCTGCCCTATCTTTCTCTCTCAGTTGGCTTTCCCCTTTCCCCTGCTCCCTGTCCACACTGCCTATATAAGTTCATATACCTGGGATTCTGACTTGGTGAGATATTTAAATGTATAAAACATTCTCTCTTGCACCCTGTCTTGCATGTTTTCTTGTTCTTTTGATTATATGAGTTTTGGTTGCCAAGGTTAAGGCCGGGAATTCTATTAGCCCACCTTTTGTAATTTGATGGTGGATGTGACCATCATCAGCATATGCTCTGTCACAGACTCACAAACTGTCAATTAGAAAGAACTACCAACAGGTAAAAACCAAGAGAAATAGAACTTATTTTGTGTCACTCCTCTTCTTGATGAATGGAAATTATCGATGGATGTTGTTATTGACAGTAATGCTTGGAAGGTGCCTGGGTCGCAATCAGGGATGCCTTTTCTTAGAGTGGAATGTGTGAGAAGGGGGATAAAATACATGTTTTATGGAGGGTTTGAAGCACACTGATTTTCAGATGGATGAACTAAATGGTCTTATTTAAGTCTGAAAATAACAAAATCTCATTGTGCTTTTTTTAGTCTGTGCTGACACCATAAACCCGTTATCTCTAGGTATATCAATATGGGCCCTGTGTTGGCATGTCATAACCATGTCTGAATACAAAGATGAAATTCTTATTAAAAATTTAAAATCCTTTTCAAAACCATTATGCAATGGATTTTACTATGATACTAGTGTAAGCCAGGATAGGAGAATATATGTTATCAGGATATTCTTGGATTACATCCCTGATAAATTGCGTGGATTGGATGGGGGTGTATGAACAATTCAGCTATAGGAATGAAGTTCATGATAATTCTCAAAGTTGTTTATATGCCCTTTGGAGAAATTTTGGCTGCAAGGGACCGTGGTTTGGAACTTTTGCAAGTTATATTGATTGAACATTGTGTAAAGTGACGTAAAGGGGATTGCAGTGTGTTTCAGCATGTTCTGCATTGCCCGCATATAGAGCCATTGCATATTGTATAATGATTTTTGAAATAATTGAACCATGCATATTGTACCCTGCTACTCTCACTGGAGAACCAGCCACAGGTGGGTATTACTCTGGGTATGGTACCAAGTATAGATTTAGATGTAGAATTTATTTTTCATTTTAGAGTTCCAATAGATACATCTTTTATGCTTTAAGATTTCGGTCATGGTTTCTGAGCTTATTAGCTTGAAAAGCTACATAAGATGATGCTTGTGGTTGCAGGTTATCATTTCAAGTAGACTTTAGCTGTTACTTTTTTATCCAAGTGCAGAAATCACTTTATCTTTCAATCAAATTCGGCCATCTAATGGGTTTCACATAACGTTGTGAATGGTTTATTCCACATAAATAATGCATATTGTCGTTCTAATCTTAAAAAGCTTTCTGAAATCCTTTAGCTTATAGTTTTTTACTGGATTCAGGTTCTTGTGAATTATGCAAGATCATCGAAGGAAGCTGAAGAAGTCTCCAAAGAAGTAAATTGACTGCACTTAACATTTACATTTTATTTTTCATTTAATTTAACACATTTTAAGGTCTGTTTACATATTCATTCTCAGGAAAATGTTACAATATGATTGAACTGTGGTTTTTCAATTTCTTCCTTCTATTTAAACATGTTTTTTTGCTGCTTTGTTGCAACGAACAATGTTTTTTCCTAAGAATTTGGTAAATCTTTTTTCCTTCAAAAAACATTTCAACTTTGTCATGTAATACTTTATTTATATTATTAACATATAGGTTATTCAACAAGAAAAATTTTCTTTTTCTTTTTCTTGCTAGATGAAGCTTGGAAATGTCAGTGTGATGTCATAAGTGAAAACCAAGATTTGAACACCAATGCAGACCACATACCACTATAATACACCAAGAAATACCACGAGTGTTTAATTCAGTATATGTTGGTACAATTGGTGCATGGTGTACCAGGAGCAACCAGTCAACATAGTTGTTAAGGATGAGTATTTGAACCCACAAGTGACATTGATAATCACATAACGAAATTTATTCCTCCAAGGAGATACAACAATGATTTTGATGCATGATTCTAAAGGAATGAGGGCAATGTCTTCAAAGTTGTAACTCATGTAACTTTTGTGACATAGTGCAACTAAGAAATGATTTTTGGTGGTTTGCTGGAACTCTCACTGTGGTGGTTTGTCTCAACAACTATTGGACTATAGTCAGATTCAAAATGTTGCATTTTGATATTTCATTTACATACCTTTTCAGATCGAGGCATTTGGTGGTCAGGCCATTACTTTTGGTGGAGATGTTTCAAAAGAAGCCGATGTGGAAACTATGATCAAAACTGTCAGTCAGAAAACATTGAATATATTTGAATTCTCTAGATTTAATCACTGGCTTATTTCGTGGCATATGTGATTCTTCCAGGCAGTCGATGCATGGGGCACAGTTGACATTTTAGTTAACAATGCAGGTTATTTGGATTTCACTTCTCCTCAGTTTATACATCCTCATGAAGTTTCCTAATCGAGACTGTTTTCAGGAATCACAAGAGACACACTGTTGATGAGAATGAAAAAAACACAGTGGCAGGAAGTCATTGATCTGAATCTTACTGGTGTTTTCCTTTGCACACAGGTGTGCATTTTCACACCTTATATGGTACTCTTTTTAAGTTTTGATTCTTGAGTTATTTAATTCACCATAAGTGTAATAAATTTTCCTGCAGGCAGCAGCAAAGATTATGTTGAAGAAGAAAAAGGTACTGCCTTCATTTTTTTTTTCTCTAGGTTTAGTTATTAGCTATGGATTTAACTAGTTTGGGAAGCTGAAAGAACTATATTCGGGTAGTCTGCTGGCTCAATTTACCAAACACACTATAATAAATAATTTCTTATTGATGCATGGCATATTATTGAAATATACAGTAACCTTAGGTAATTGACTGGAATAATGCTTTTGGATGTTACTAGTCGGAATTACAAGATACACTATGTAAAGTCACTATCTGATTTTATGGAGTTGCATGGAAGATTGGCTGTTTCATTTGATATATCATATGTTATAACCCTCTATTTCAGCTTAATAAAAAGCATTGATTGCTTATTTTCATGGAACATAATATCAACACTTCAATTTCTTTACAAGAATTCAATTTTTATTTAAGAGGGTAAAAGGTTCCAGTTTTTTTCTTTAAAACAAGTTACATCATGCTTTATATTAAAAGCCCTTGAGGTGCATTAAATAGTGTGTAAAATGTCTATAATTATAATAATCTATTATTAATCTCGAGCAGTGCTTCTTAAGAATCATATTGTCATGGTTTAATCTAGTGAAGATTGGGTATCAAGTATTTCTGGACCTGCACTTGTTTGCCATCTTTCTTGTGCTGCTTCCTTCTAAATCTGTTTTTTTTCTCTTAATAAAATATGCATCCTTTTGGTTGTAATGTCACAGGCTGTTTCTTCTAGAAATCTTCTCTTTTCCTATTTACGTGGAAACTTGTGGAACTAAAGTGACCTTTACCAGTTTTCTAATGAAATATACTGTTAGTATATTTTCTGGGATGCATTTCTTGTCCTTGATTTTTGTTTGTTATTCAAAATATAAGTTGCTACTACTTTCTACTATAGATGACTACTTTGGATGGGCTTTGTATGCTTGAATTAGAGTGGGACATGAGGATGGATGGTGAAAATCATGGTTTTGTGTTTTGCATGAACTGGTACATATGGCCTGTTGGGTCGGTAGCATGGACCACAGCATGTGCCTCCCAACACATTGTAATGTTCAAATCTAAAAAACGAAAGGAATTGTTTCACAACACGAACTGATGTATCATCTGTCAGTATGCTGGCATGTACCCAGACTCATACCATCCCTGTACGGAACAGGCACAGGTCTAATACCTGAAAATCTACAATTTGAAGTTTGCCAGCCATCCTGAAATGCTGCTAATAACAATATTATGATGTCTGTAAGATTGATTATTTGTGCTTCTTATGTTACTAATCAGTGTTCTTTTGTAATGGTAGATATAGTTTAGAGGATTGATATGTTTGAGGATCTGATTGGTGACTAGTCAAGTAATCAATTTGTTTCAACATGTAGAGATCATTCTTTGAACAGCACTTACATCTTACTAGTGTTTCTAAACAGGGGAGGATCATCAACATAGCATCTGTTGTTGGCCTAGTGGGGAATGCTGGACAAGCTAATTATAGTGCTGCAAAGGCAGGGGTGATTGGTTTTACCAAGACCGTTGCGAAAGAGTATGCAAGCAGAAATATTAATGTAAGTTTTTCCTTTTGATGTCAAATTTGCAGCTAAGCCAATTCTTTGGTTCTTGTTTAAAATATGCAATCTTGTTTGCCCCAGGTTAACGCTGTTGCTCCTGGTTTCATTGCGTCTGATATGACTGCTAAACTTGGAGAAGATATCGAGAAGAAAATTCTGGAGATCATTCCATTAGGTAAGTCTAAGCACAACTATTGTTTCATGCCCCAACCACTAGAAATGTCACCATTGTTAGATATGTTTTGATGTGGAAATGTGTCATACTATACTTGACATCATAATTAACTGTTGATCCATATTTGTCATTGTAACTGTCTGTTTGAAGAACTTTGCCTAACTTGTATGCCACAACTGATTAACTATTTTGCTAAGACTGAAGACCAGCATCTAGATCTTATATTTTGCCTTTCAATTAGCTCTCCTGCTTCAGAAAACATTGGTTTCAGCAATAGGCATTTTTTACTGTTCTTTTTCTTAATCTGTGGTTCTCTAAAACTTTGCAACATGTCAAGAAATAAAATAAAAAGTTTGTTATTTTTTAAAATGTCTTTTCAGGGAGGTATGGCCAACCAGAAGAAGTTGCTGGCCTGGTGGAATTCTTGGCCCTTAATCCTGCATCCAGTTACATTACCGGGCAGGTAATAATTAAGTATCGTCATGTCATTTGAAGTGTTGGACAAGTGATTCTTGATGGATTCTCTGCCAACGGTTTGGATTTAAATTCATGAAAGCATGATCGCTTATGGCAGTTAACCAAAAATTGTGAATTCACAACGAAATCTATTTGCAACTTAATTTGCTTTTTCCTTGTGCAGGCTGCTTAAGTGATATCTCAGTTTACCTGCTTTGGTTTAGCCTCATTTGCTTGTCTAAGAATAGTTATGGTAATATGATGCAGGTCTTTACCATCGATGGTGGAATGGTGATGTAACCATGGAGGCACTCGTTATTATAGTTTTAGTGTTCAAAGAATCTTCATTTGCCGATGTGATGTTTACTATTAACTTCAGATTTTGGGAAATATTGCAACCAATTCATCTATGTTGTTCTCTTGCCAGGATATTTCCCCCCTTTTTCTTGTTTTTTTTTTGCTTCTATAAATGTTTTTTGAGAGAGACTGCCTACAAATAAGAACTAAAAATTTTCTGACATTTTGCACCCTATGCTGATCAACAGTATGATATGCTAATCTAGGACTTGAATTGAATTCCTGGTGGGCAGGCCTGTCAGTAAAAAAAGTTCCAGTTCCAGATGAAAATTCTTAGTGTTTGTCATTCAATGGCATGGCTGCATTTGGTCTACTGTCTAAGAATTTATCAGGATAAGTGCATATGATTGATTATTTGCTTTGTTTAAAATAGCCAGGCAAGAGGAACTTCATGTCCATCATAAGGAAGTGAAATCATAGTCAGATGCTCTGCATGAATTTTCATCTGGGATAAAATGCATGCTTCCATTTTCTGTGTGGGACAGCTAATTCTATGAATATTAAGTGAACTACTATTTTGAATGTTATGAATGATAAGAGATTGAGATATGAGTTTAGTTGCAGTGGACTCCCAAGCTTGAACTGTTATGAGATAGTTGCAAGACTTGCTATATATTTCATATTATTGAATGGTGGGTTACTAGAAAATAACCAACCCTATGTGTTTATCTATTAATCAAGGATTAATGGATTCACCATAGCAAGAAATTTGAGATCATCTCACTGTGTTTATCTATGTGTTTATGTTATCATCAGCAGAGCACAACACTTGACAAAAGTTGATGCACGCAGTTGACCTAAAATGATGGAGACTCCTAACTTGCTTAACCTTCTCTGGTAGGGAGATGTTATTTTATCTTACATTGTGTTAGAGATTGAAACCCATATATATCACAAAGATATCATCTGTATATATTATATATACATAAACATATTTACAGGAAATTATTGTATGAATAAATCTATAACAGTATCAAACATGTCTCTCCAAATGAACTACTTCTTTCTGGATGTCAGTCAAACAATTTCTCTGTGAAGAAAAATGTAAGAGGAAAGGAAGTCAGCCCAACTGTCTCCACAAGGGAAGAATCTGTATCTAGCTATAATTCCTCTTCGTTGACTTGATGCTTCCTTCGTCAAAAGATCACTTGACTTCTTGGGTTCTGAATTTGGTTGACTTGTGTGTTTGATAAGTTGACTATTTGTCACGCTTTCACCTTATTTCATCCCTAACCATCAGTAATGTAACCAACCCACTTATTAATGGTTGGTTTTGGGGTTCGAGTCTCATCTTTTTCATCATTTACTTAGAAAAAGCCACCATCAACCTACTAATCATTCATAATTTAATATTTATTATATTCTCAAAATTAAGATTGACTATTTGATATCATTTCTATTAATTTTCATCCAAAAAAACTTAATCATTTCTAACGAAGATTAATATTGATTAGTTTTGAGTTAAAAATGAGTATGTAATTTTTAATTTTTGTATATTGATTAAATTTTAAAAATCTTTAATATTCTTACTTACCATCATAAAGATTTTATGGAAGAGTATTGACATCGATTAAAATATTAACTAACAATCAAACCCAAATCGATTTGAAATATATTTATTATACATTTAGTTTTTAAGTTTCTGTAATATATATATATATATATATATATATATATATATATATATATATATATATAATACCAAATAATACCAATTGAATTGCCATCTAATTGCTACAAATTAAGTAACATAATCATTTATATTTGACATTTGTGGTCCATAAATTTGATATCGTTTGCGGTAACAAAAGTGGAAGACAAGGAAGCATCAATATCTCTCATTCAATTAAATCTTACAAGAAAATACCGTAAGAATATGCGTATATACATACTTATTCTTATGGAATATTCTTCAATGCCTGAAGCATCACATGACGATCATAACTGCATTGACTCTAAGAAATCTCCACCGTTCATCGGTTCGGTTCACGCGTTGATACACGCACCCCGCTTTGTAGCATCTCTTCCTCCGTCCTATTTCGGCGATCTCAAAAGGAGCGGAGCACATGGAAATTGCGGCATGCCTTCGTTTGTTGTTTATTGCTGAGGATTCTTGAGGGTTTGTCCTCGGATCGGCGCCGTTCGTCGGTGGGCGCGTCACGAAACCCTAACCCGAATCTATCCCCACCCCTCGGTGCGTCAGAGGTGACGCCTTTGGGGACCTAGGTGCCATCTCTGCTTTTGCTTTCTTCCTTTCGACCACCTCCTCTGTGGGTTTCTTTGTCGGTGGAAAGCTCGGTTCCTCCGCATTGCGCGTCGAAAGGTTTGGCCTTTAACGATTCCCAAGTTGTTCGATCGGGAAAGTTTTCGCTTTTTTTGTGGATCCTTTTATTCTGGAGATAAAAGACGCCATAGCTTTGATTTTCCTCCGCGCTGCGTCGAAAGCTTAGGTCTTTCTCGGTTTCCAAGTTATTCTATTCGGAAAGTTCTCGCCTTTTTTGTGGGTCCTTTTGTTCTCGAGATTAAAGACGTCTTTTCATTGATTGTTCTCGGGAAATATGAGAAAAGAGACTGTTTTTGGATCGCGGCTACTGCTTGATCTCGGAAAGATTTCGACTTGGAGCCTTCTTAATTGATTGCGTCGCCCAAGGTTCGATTTTAAGAGAAAAATCGAAACGTTGTCCCTCTTTTTTTTGGTTGGTTGGCCATGGAGATTATGATGCCTGCGTGTTGGCTACTTCCCCATATCTTTGCAGCGTTTTCTGTGACATATCTGCTCGGTTACTTCGTGATCTTCCGCAACTGGAATCCAAAGTATCGCCCGGATGCATCTAGTTGCTTCATCTCCTTGTTCCATGGTTCCCCGGCGGTGTTCTTGGCTGTTGCCGCAATCCTGAACCAACCTGTTCGAGGATTTGCCTCGCCCAATACCAATTTCCAGAACCTCGTTCTCGACTTCAGCATTGGCTACTTCACTGTTGATCTCCTCCACTACTTAATCTTAATTCCCGGAGACTATCTCTTTATCGCCCACCACCTGGCAACACTCTTCGTGTTCGTCACCTGCCGTTACCTTGTTGTCCATGGTGCATTTTCTATTCTGGTTCTTCTTGTGCTAGCCGAGGTCACCAGTGCTTGCCAGAACGTGTGGACGCTTGCCGGGTTAAGGAAGGCAGATTTGCCCATTGCTGCAAGAATACATAAGAATTTGTCTCCTCCCTTCTATGGCTTGTATACGATCATGAGGGGGTTCATTGGGCCGGTGTTCTTCTGCAAGATGAGTGCATACTATTTGAGTGGAAAAGCCAGCAATGTCATTCCGATCTGGGTTTCTGCTGCGTGGATCGTGGTGGTTGGTGGTGCAATTTTGGTCAGCATCATGTGGATATCTAACTTGTGGTTGCAATTCTTTAAAGACGAGAATGTAGAGAAAAAAGATAGCTAATTGTATGCTATCAATCCAATATATTGGCAACCAAGACCGGTATATGCCTTGAGAGAACAGTTAATTTTATGGTTGATGATATAACGCATATCTGCTCACTTTAGATTAAAATGAACATTAATATAGATCATAATTGCAAAGTTTCTACTTGCTGGAACTATTTAGCAGTCGGTTGTGCTTTTGAATGTTACTCAATTTTTTTTTTATCCAGTTGTTAATTGACATTTATCGATGGTATACCATTTAGCCCTATACACGAAAGTAGTTTCATTGCCTTAATGCAAGAGTTGATGGTTTTGTTTGGTGGTATGTGTTATCGACTCAGGTAAGAAAACTATATGTCTCATTGCTTTTTTGGTATTGCCTTGGAATCTTTTCCATGTTTTGAATTGGTTGGTGAAGATGTGCTTATTTTTTGTATGTAAGAGTAGTAACTTGCTGGAATGCAGTGTATTTAGGAAAACAATGGTTGGTGTGTGGCTTTCTAATTGAAGTGGTGATTTGTCAGATTTGTAGCTTGCTGAAATTAAAAAATGAAGTTTCTAATGAGTACCCGAAAGAAGCCTTTTCTTTCATTTAAATTTGAATATTGTGACATCACCTTCCTAACTTATTCATTTAGAGCACACAACCTTTGACACGAGTCCCAATATTATTGGACCATGAACTCCCAAGATTACCAAGTCTTCACTGTCTTAATGAGATTATCATCAAATAGTTTCTCATTTTCCCGGATATGCACATTGTTATACCTCCTTGTCTCTGAGCATCAAACAGCACATGTAGAACCTTGTATCACACTGTTAAATTAATCGCTATCTTCTAGTGCTTACTCTTTGATATATATGATGAACTTCCCAATAATGCATTTTTGCAAGAGTTTCCTTCCTGATTGTGCTTTTTAGAGCTAAATTGACTTCTTGCTTCCTTGCATTTGTTTGAATAGCTCTATCATTCTTTTTTTCCATTCCTATTTAAGAATGTATCACAAAATTACTGACACTATGTTTTGCAAAAATTAGACCTTTTTTATGTGCTAATTGCTGTTCTTAAGTGAGTACCACCATAAACATAGCTGAACAGACCCTGTTATGATGATACATTAATGATTTAGTGAGATAACAACCCATTTGACCTTTAGGTGCATAAACTTTTACACGTTTTATGCATTGTAAGTTTGTAGCCTTATCTAAAATTATTCTTAGGATGCGCTAATATTTGTTCTTGTCGATGAATGTTCTCTCTATCAGCTGCAGAAGATCACCATGTATCTTCTTATGCCATTGCGGCGCCTTATTTTTGTAATTTCTCCTACCAGGTTCAAATTATACGTAGCTAAACTGCGCAAGTAGGATCAAATTTTGTGAGACATACCGAAGTATATCTGAATTATACAAATATACTGCAAGTTGTTTCTTCTTGTTTGCATTTGGACTTCTGGAATTGGGATCTACAGATTTGTTATTTGAAGAATTAGCTGTTGGTAGTAAGAGCTTAAAAGTCTTGGTCCAAAATACCTACATAATCTTAAACTCAGGATGCATCTTTAAGTTGATGCTTAATTATTCTTTTTATCAAATCAGTGGTAAAACTATTGGTTTTATGGCAACTAAATCTCAATGTTAGTGATGGAAAGGTGGGTTATAGTTGCAATCATTCTCTTTTTTTTTTAATAATTTTTTGGATTTGTTTTTTAATATACACATAACATCCATACCATTAATAGTTACCAATTCAAGTTTTGGTTATAAAAAAAATAGTTTTTAAATTTAATTCCAAAAGTCTTGGAGAATTTTTTTTTTTCTAAACCTTTTCATGTTGATTTAATTTCCAAGTGGAATATCATGTGGATGGTTATGCTTGACAGTATGAATCCTCATCCGAAGATGCTGACTAATCGAGTGGATTAAGATTTTGTCAACTCATTGCAAGATTGTCTAATTTTACACCTACCCTTTGTTGCAAGGTCCACTCTAGAGTTGCCATACATGCAAAACTAGTAAGAGTCATTAAATCTCTAATGGGGGTTTTGATAAGGCCACATCAATGATGCAAGAATGGACATGAGGACATGTATGATGCGTGAAAGAAACATATTGTTTGTGCATTGGCATGGCAATACAAGCATGTAAGTTCTGAGAAGGGTGATGCGTGAAAGAAAAAATCATGATGATGTATGCATGTTGGAAGAAACATATGGTTCCGAAGCATTGGCATGGCAATACAAGCATGTAAGTATTGTTTGTGCATTTTATGGATATAAGACATCAAGTGTTAAATAAGCACACCAGAAACCATTTCACAAACATTGCATCCAGTTGAATTAGACCAGAAAAATAAATCATCAATGGAAAGATATGACTGATGATCCATAAATTCTAATTCCCTGCAACCAAACTCTAACCAGTATTCAATCACATGAAACAGCTCCAGCACATACATAGCTAATTAGCTATTCTAAAAGAATGAATCCTGAGAACAGGGAATATAAATACAGCAATCCAGCTGAATTAGTTGATTAGAACATCGGCTACCGGAGGACTAATACCTAATGCCCAATTTCCTGGGCAAACAGACATGTTTGCTTATATGTTATATATAACATCACTAGACCATTTACACACAACACATTTAACCACAAAGGCATAGAGCAACTCTCGACAGCCTACAAACTTTTCTGATGTCTTTGCTTTTATAAAGCTAGATACGGATTATCGATGCATTTGACTTCTCAGGTTCACTGTTGTAGTGAAGCTCCACAAAGGTACCACCTCCGATACCCTTGGCTAACCTTCCTGGATTCACACACATGCATTTTGTGGCGGCTTCTGCATCGTTTTCTTTATGAGACAAGGCCTGTGCACCCAAAAAAAAAATGTCTGACTGAAAAAACATATTAATCACACTTGACAACGATTTAGAACTTTACTCTCGTATCTTTAGTGTTATCAACTGCAGGAATTATAGGATTTCGAGGTAATATTTCCCACGATGAATGGATGGACATCATTAGAAGCCCTTGGTAACGCAACTCAGAAAAAGCACCATTATGGCTAGACTTTGAAGTAGATTACTGCTCATATAAGCTGCAAAAGTCGATGTAATGGTGTTTACCTTTACAAATGGGGAAAGATCTGAGGGCAGGATTAGGATATCTGGAATAAGGGGAATGTCCAAAGCTTCAGGTGCAAGTGAAAGATCCAAGGGAACACCCAGAGAGGGTGGATATAGTGGATAATAGCTGCCATTAGAAACATACATAGAATTAATTGCAACAGGAACAGAACAAATATTCTTTTGCTTCCGAGCGTCATTCAAGTACCTCCGCTGACCCAATATATGGGTTGCAAGTCGCCCCATGCGGTCACCTGACATCGTATCAGTTGAAGTCCTTGAAATTTCCTCTCCGCTAAGTTGTTTCAAGATATCTATGGTACAACAGCCAAAGGTAATCTGAAAGATAAAGAGCACAAGGCAAATGCATGGCTCAAATAAGCATAGTGACCTCATGCTACTGAAATCATATCCTTGACACTCAGAGATTACAGAAATCCAAATATCTGTATTAATTAACTTACATACCAAATGGAGGCTAAAGAAAAAAGGGAAGTCCCAGCTATAAGCAAGTTAGTTGGGGACAATGAATTAATACTTATGGAAAGCGAATTATAATTCCCAATCTTGCCAGCAAGAAAAATAGAAAAATGATATTGAACATGTTCTGGTCATGCTTTACCAAATTATCCAGTGATACACATGATTTAATAAAACGGGGAAGGTTGCAAATAAACTGGGCTTCCACCACTGCAATTATAGGGAGGATTAAATAAGGCAATTGGCAGTGGGGAAACAGCAGCAGTGATGAAATATAGAAAATGAAATTTCAGTGTCAAGTACATGAAAGTAGAAGATAAAACACACTAAAAATTGTAGCAACAATCACCGGGTTCTTTCTAAACATAACTTGGAGCATTCAAGAATATGTTGTTTTCAAAACATGACCAAAGTCTGTGGTAACGCAACCAGCAAATTAACTGCAGCAAGATTGCATTAACATCTAATTCCTATCTTTAGTATGAAATCCATGATTACGTACCTCATTTGCACTGAAAAGACCAGGATTTGGAAGGCAAGCGATCTGCAAGAGAAAGCTGCAACTTCAGCGCAGAACAAGAAGAGCAACTGTATCAAAATGGAAAGAGTAAAAATAATAAAGCAGAACTTAAATGTAGGAGCACTTTACTGAAAGCAGCAAAAGGAAAAAAATAACAGATCCCAGGAAGAAGGACCTGATGTGAAATATCATCTGGCTGACGAATATCGAAAGCAGGCTGTGGAGAACATAACATAAATTCAACAATAAGGTCATTAGATTAAAAAACAATTTAAATGTAGGAGCAACTTATTATTTATGACTCAGGATATCCATGCCCTTTATGCAAATAAAGAGAAACAACTGTTTAGAGTGCATGGATAATGGTTGCATGTATATATATTGTTCCATCTTTGCCATCAATATGCTAAATTTTGGAAATTATTGTTGATAAGTTTATTATATTCATGCCGTGATGGATGCAACACTTCCATTGTGAGAACAAAAAAGAAAAAATGATAGTATAAAGGATGAATTTCAAACATAACATATGAACACCAAACACACCCGCCTGATGCAACCTCCCCTCAGGGGCCCATTAGCTAAGCAGCAGATGGGTCCTAAAGGGAAGCAGCATCACTTGCTGCTGAACTGATTGCCTTGGATCCCCTTCAGCTGAGGGTTGCAACAGGAAAATGTAAAATGTATTGCTAATGCATTGAAGGGTGTCAAGACAAGAACCTGTGGAAAAACAAAGTCATGGTGAGCATCACGTATCGATGGCAGAAGGATTACATGGGCAGAAGGGCCCATATACTTGGTGTAGTCATACAACTGCAACAGAAAATGTCAAGAAATATCAGATTTCTAAAGCACAGCTCACAATCTGCATAATGACTGCAAAATAGACCTACACACCTTCCTAAGAATTTCAACGTGGAAAATGTCATCGAATACTCTATCAACAGTTCCCCTTTTTATCTCCGGATGATCAGAATCAACAAAAGGACCCATCTGCCAGGGCATATCGAATCAGAAAACCAAACCTTTTTATAATTTTAGCACAAAAATCATAATAGCAACATATAGAAAAGCTTGGAGCCTTGGACAATCACAGTCTCACCAAAATAACCAGTTGAGGCTGCCTCCTACTTGCATATGCAAGCAGTTCCTTCAAAGGCTCAAATAAGAGATTATCAGTTGTTGTGAAAGGACCTGCTGCAATAAGCTACAAAAAAGTTGAAAGCCTTTAGCTAGATAATTTCCCTTGGTTAGTAAAGTAGCCACCAATCACATCATGACAATAAAGCCTTTATATTGTTCCATGCTAATTCTTTTGTTCTTGAATAAATCTATATATAGCCATTAAAGTACAAAACAAGCACGAGCTCCCAAGGCCCAACTGGTTTCTGAAAGAAAGCTTAAATAATGTTTTCCATTCCTTATAGTGGTTAGGAATGGACCAGAAGGAAGAAGGATCAAATTTAAAAATTACAATAATAATATGGTTTCTTTTATTATAAACTGTGCTTCACATTTACATTCTTGCTCTCAAGAATTCGAAACAAAGTTGGTAGGTTGTCAAATATCTCAATCAATGTGACTTCATTTAAATCTTCATCGATGTACGAGATCTTACATGAGCAATCCCAGCAAACATCAGAAAAGAACTTCAAGAGAACTGTAACTAAAGACAGTTCCCGATATATTAATAAGATCCATTTGTTGAATAGAAACTAGTTGGTTCAATTACTAAAACTTATTCTAGGAACTGCAACCACTCAAGAGGCAACAAAGTTTCTGACATCTGAGTGATCTTTGGGAAAAAAACAACTTCGTGGTCTACAAGTTGCACATATATTCCATTTTTATCATTTCTCAACAGTTCAGAAATGATTTGTTGGAATGAGTAGTACTATATGTCTCCTATTTTGTTCAAGTCATTATAAAACCAGAAAAAACACCATGATACATATTTCCAAAAGCAGTCAGCAGGTATTTATACCCATAAACACATTCTTTGTTAGACATGGCCAAAAGACAATGCATTGCAAAATGCTGCATTTTCTTTTCTTTCAAGAACATTTGGTGACCTTTTCTTTTGCACCAGTAAGGAGCGTGAAACAGTTGAACTAGATGTTGCTACATGGGGGATAAATAAACCAAAAGAAACCTGGATAGATGCTGCAGGAAAGAAAAAGGTAACCGACGATAGAGAGATGGACATTAATGGTCCTTGATAGAGCTAAGCTAAATGGTGGAAGAATTACATGTTGTCAACTGCATATAGCTTGTAAAAAGGCCCTAAATATATACTTTTCTCTTGTTGCACATGTTATTTTGTTATCAGATATGCTGTGTTTTTTTTTCAGATGTACAACACGTCCTTAGAGGAATGCCTGGACCCTCAACAGATACCTAGTACAACCCCATGCCAAGCACATTATATAACAGACATAAGATAGTAGATTACAGTATGTATGTCACCCCATGCAGGTAAAGCTCAGAACACAAAGTAAATGGTATGCATACCAATGATAGCACTCTTGAGTCATTAGAAGATGTAGGTTGGTAGTCCTGGTCCATTGCTAGCTTCTTAGCAGGAGGCAGATCAACATCAAGGGAACTGGGCATGTAGTCAATTACTTTTGTGGCAATCAAACAATGTCCACTTGGATTATGACCCTCAACACCAATCACCTGATTCCGCCAGTCTAAGTAAAAAGAACAACAATAAATATAGAATCACTTGCTTTTCTACTGTGCAGTATTACCTGACCAGGAAACAAAGAAAAGTGTGCCAACTTCTGAAGATCAAGACGCACACGCCGTCCCCCAGAAAGCTCAGTGCTACAATAAAATTGCAAAATGAAATGACTAAAAAAGACCTGTGGCCTTCAACATGATAGGAACCTTAAAACAAGTGGGAATAACAAAAGTACATGGGTTATTTAGGAGGAACTAAATACTTCTACCTTCCTTGCATCAAGATGGATTTTTCATTTAGATGGCCTTCTCCATCACAACAAACCATCCCAACTGCAAACGTATTTTTCTGGAAGAAAAATTGACAGAGTCATGTTTTTCTTAGAAAGTCATACGACTGTCATGTTTCAGGAAAAGCTATTTTTGTGTGTAACCAGTATAAGATGAGAAAATGTACATGACAGGACTATTAACATGTACATGAAAACAGGTACCGAATTGAACTTTCTATAAAGGACCAAAGATAAATACTTCCTGTCCTAGTAAATTTGGTAATCAAACCAAATTCGAACTTATTTAAGCACGGAAGGGAAAGAAAAAAACCTTGAACAAGCAAATACCTGGGAAGCCAAAGTAGCATCAGAGGGTTCTCCGTAAAGGCCATATGACGTGAATGCATTTGCATGCTTCCTAATCCGGTTATCTAGGTAATTAAACTGAGGCACAATAACCATGGTTTAAGACTGTATAGACTGGGAATACAAAGAGGAACATGAAATTTGTCCTGGTGGTGCTGATTACCCGATCTTTTGTCCTGTCATACATGAACCTACAACCTGATTGCGGCTGCAAGTGATGCACCTGCAAATTGCATCTTTCGGTAGTTTGGACTCGTCTTATAATGTCATCCTCCATGTCGTTGAGCTCTTGACCGCTTAACCTATTCTCCACACTCTCAGAATTGAAGACAAACTGTGATGTGAACTTGCTAATCCTTTGTCCGAAAGGAGTGATACGACTGCTTATGTCAGTTGCATCTTTTGATGACAAAAGATTCTCCTTTGTTTTAGGAGTCGATACAGAATTATATGTATCCACATGTAGCTTCTCGTATTGACTGTTTGGGGTGTTGAGAATACCCACTGTGGAATCATGGTCATCACCTAAAAGCCTGCTCAGAATTATTATTCAAGATCAAGATTATTACCTAGAAGCCTGCACAAAAAAATTTGATTTCCATACAGTTATCCACACTCACATTTCGACGTCATCACTGGAGTAAACATGCAAGTGGGAATCCTCCTTAATAATCTTCTGCTTCGTCTCATTTTGCAGATAGGACAAGAAACCATCCATGTGAGCATTTTCTAACTTCAAGCCGTTTAGCTGCCTTAAAAAAATATAACCACATTCGAAGAAACACAAAAGAATATTACACATATACACAATATAAGTGGAAAACAAAAATCAAAATTCTTAAGGAACCATTGGGGTTACTCAGAATAAATAACACGATGTCATTTAAAACTTCAGACTATCAACCACAAGATATACACACATACTAATGTGGTTATATGAGTAAAAACCTGCAACTTGTTCGACCTAATGAATTAACGTGTTATCCCACACAGAAATAAATGTATGCGCACGCTTGCTTAATTTTGTGAACACTCATCAAGTTGGGGCTAAACCCCTGAAATCGAGACACCTACCTGTTAAGATAGTAGATCTCCCAGTTGGATACAAGATCGGAAGGGCTGAGCTTGTAATTGATGCAGTAAGTGAGACCTAATCGGCAGAAAAAAGAATGAACAAGGGGCATCGGTATTCAAATATGACGAGAGAGATAAACAGAGAGAGAAAGGGAGAGGAGAGATTACACATACATTTCTGGAGGATTTGGTCGTCATCGTCGACAGAGAAGCCGCTACTCTCGAACTCGGCTTTGATCTCTTGCTCCATAGCGAGGACTTGAGGCTTCGGTGCAGGCGAACCGTAGGGCGAACAGAAGGCGGCAGCGAGGAGGAAATGGCGGGAAAAATGAGGCGTGTGGGCATTATATACCTATTTTACGCCAAGGATGCTGCTGCTAAGAGCGCGTCTCGCCGAGTCGACTGGGTCGAAGGCCGACCCTAACCCGATCCAACTCAGACGACCGGGTTGACTCAGACCACGGTGGTGTTATGTTGGAATTCCGGTTCACCCGTGACCGGCGATGAGTCGACGACACTCGAAGCTTGCAAAGTTTCCTGATAAGTTTATTTCTTGGATTCATATTTGTATTTCTATTTTTTTTTGGTTTAATTTGCTTCTCTCTCTATTTAATAGGCATCCTTCTCAATTCTTTAATGTATGTGGATTATATCTTATTATTCTTTTATCTTCTTTCCTAAGCATGTCAACGGGGAGACCAAGAGGGAAATCTGTAATTGTTTTTTCACATCAGAAAGTTTACTCCAAGGTTTATTAGCTTAATCTGCTTTGGATCGTTTGAGGTAATGGTTTATTTTTGTTCGATGCAGGTTTTCGAAGAAAGCGAAGAGAAGGTGAGGTGTTGTACAATGAAGGTATGGCGGTCTTGGCTAGACTGCAAGTGGTTGTGGCTGAGGTATCCTTACCAATACTTTCAAACATATTTTGGACTGTTTTGATGTAATATAACATTTCTCGTATGCATAGGAAGGATAACAAGATGGACCAATTGATTGGCTAAGAAGTCTGAGGTGAGAGTGGCTCTCTGGGTTGAGTGTTTTTATCCACTCTGATTGATGCTAGGATATAGTTAATCAAATTTAACTTCTTTAAACAAAATAAATCTGGATGGAGCTTTAAATCATCCTGTGCTTCAGTAACAAGTATGCTTCATTGGGTTGTAACAGGGAGCAAGAGATCCATATCAGCACAAGGTCTTTGTTCCATCATTACTTGATTTCCAAAATCCCAGAAACAACAACAAGATTAGATAAGCTGCAGCCATGGACTCAGTTTGCAGGGTTTATAGGCTATAGGAGACAATTGCATGGCAAGGTTGTCATCTGCATCAAGCAAGCATATTTACCCATATTTGTATTTCAAATGTGGATATGAACTAAAAACCATCATTACTAGTTATATTTATTTTCCTTAGTTTCGTTAGAAAAGCATCTGATAGCTATATCAACTCGAAATATGTCATTAGTGCCAACGACAATATAACAAGGATGCAAAGACTAGGACAAACTAGCACGCCTGGTGGAAATTAGACAACTTGCACGGGCCAGCCAAGAGATTTGACTGCACCGAAAACATCGGTTTCTCATCTCAAGCCACTGATACCAACGAGCACTTGGATGCTTGATTAGATTGCTTTTCGCTGCCTGAATCATCCGCTGCCAGGTTCTGTGCCCCAAAGCAGAAGTACTGATTCATCAGTCTAATACTTACAAGACTAGATCTTGGGGTCATGTTTTCTGTCGCGCCGCAATTAATCGAGGAACTGGAACAAGAGGCACCATCGTTTTCATTCTCCAAAAGGATGCCTTTTTGTTTCTCCATTGTGGATGATGGTTTTGATGACTTTGAGAACAAACTAGAGGGAGTGCGTGCCGAGGGAGCCAGATGCGGCATGGATTGAAACACCCCGTGCATCAGACCTGCGGTAAATTTCTTCTTTGTTGAAGGACTTGGGATGGTGCTTCTCACAGAAAGAGTCCGCTTGTTGTTCAGAAGTGATGTAGCCTTAGAGAATCGTTGTCGGAGGGGAGTTGGAGTGTCTTCTTGGTTGACCAATTTCTTGAACGAGTCAAATGAGTCGTCATCACCAACCCTTTTTGGTGTCTCAGTTGTCTTCTCTTTCCGACGGGGCCACCTGAGTAGAATCTTGAGACGTCTTGCCGCATTGCTGACAGAACTTTGTTTCTTTCTATCTGAAGACCCATGGTTTTCGTCCGTGGCACTGGGGTGGCTGACTTCGCTCTTGCTGGTACTCGAGCATGAGCTAGGCCTCCCACTGACCTCTGATGCTTCGATGCCCGTGTACAAGAATATCTCGGCATCCGCAATCCTGAAGGAAGTGCCTGGGCTATTTCCAGTACCTTGCATTTTGAGGTGGGAAGCAAGGACATACCTTGCCTTATAGTCCTTTGAGTTTGCAATTCCTCCAGCAGAAATTATTTGTTTGATCAGTATCTCAGATGATGCCGATCGTGGGTGTTGCCTGAGTATGTCCAGAGGTGTCATTCCATCAGCATCTCGAATGTTAAGGTCAATAGATTGAACGGTCATCAAAAGTTCGACAAGATCAGTATGCACATTGCCAATCACTGCCATATGGAGGACGGTTCTTCCATCATTATTTCGGACATTGATGATGTCTTCAACATTCACTATGGTTCCACTAATTAACTGTTTCATCAGCTCCATTTGCCTATCAAGTCTCCGAAAGCCAGGAGTCCTGAAACCTGCCACTGCCATATGAAGGAAAGTATCTCCAGGTTCGTTTATCAAACTGCAGGATGAGGGAGAAGCCATTATCAAGGCCTCCACAATGGTTAAGTGTCCTCGAAAGGCTGCCACATGCAGTGATGTATTCCCTTGATTATCTCTAGAGTCAATAATATCGAAAGATAGAAGTAGATCCTTAACAACCTGCATTTATTGTATAAATATGTAAAAGATAATTAAAAAATAATATGAATATTATTCAGAATATTTCCAGTAGACAATATCACCCTTATTAAGCATTTACCATATCAAGTATAAAACAAGGAACACAACAACCCTTTTAACTACAAGAGAAAGGTGCTTGGAAAGTGACGTCCAGCCAACCCTACTTGTTAGCTCTTTAGCAGTTTCTTTACTCATTTGACATATTAAGAGAAACTATATTGAAAAGAAAAAGCATCATTTGATATATCAAGAGAATTTCTACAGAGAGGATAAATGTGGAGAAAACATGACAACAACAAAGCAGCAGGTGTGGCTTGTAGTAAAGCTAAATTATTTTGTTTGCCCGATGAATCAGTTCATTTAACCTTTCAGAAAGAACAATATGCCCTATGCTTCATTGAATCATCCAAAAATAGTTAAACTAATTTTTTTATGTAATCAGACATGCTGAGTGCAAGTTTTTATCCTTAAGTAGTTCATAGAATAATAAGCTGATTAAAATGCAAGAGTATGATTATTGCCTCAAACGATAACTTTTCCTGTTTCACTGGATTGATTAATTTTAACCACTTCATGTATGTTTAGTTCTTCTGACAGATAAGAACTCTTGATTGGAGCAAAAGTCACATGCAAGTACCATGGCTTTTTTCAAAGAAAATGATTGTGAATCTCTGATCCATGTCCTAAAGAAACTAATCATAATCGCATGCCTCGATAGGCAGCTTCAATATAATTTGTTGGAGGTTCGACTTGCGGACGCCAGTAATAGCACATGCATTGGTGTTAGGATCAAGAGCGACACTAAAAGGGGGGGGTGGGGTGAATTAGTGCAGCAGAAAAAAATTTTATTTCGGAAAAATGTTCGTTTCAATTCAATCCGTTTCGAAAATAAATTAAACTTGAAAGCTTTCACAAAAGTGCTAAGAGAAGGTTAAGGAAGTTGCAGTAATGTAAATTGCACAAATAGAAAGGCAAATCAGAATTTAGAGTGGTTCGGTCGAAATGACCTACATCCACTTTCGGATTCCTCCTCCGTCGAGGTCACCGGCATCCACTAAAGACCTTCCTTCAACAGGCGAATGCCAACCACCTTTTACAGCTCTTTCTCCTTTTGCCGGGTTTAGGAGATAACCCTTACAAGTCTCACTCCTTTTTCTTGGATGGTTACAAGGCTAAGAGATGAAGGAGGAGAACTCTTCTAACTTTTACAACACTTTTAAGACTCAAGAATTCAAGATTATGTCAATGCTTTCGTGCCCTTTCATGCAAAAAAGAGTGAGCTATTTATAAGCCCCAATGGCTTCAAAAATGGAGCTAAAAAGTATCTCATCCTGGATTTCCAGGGTACTAGGCGGTACCACCGCCATTACTAGGCGGTACTATTCCCTGACATCTGACACTGAGCGGTACCACCGCCCAGTCTGGGCGGTACTACTGCCTGATAGAGCTCGGAGACCGAGCTCTGGCGGTACCACCGCTTGACAGAAGTGATACCACTACTGGCAGGTAATAATTGCCAGTGGTACCACCGCCCAACCCACCTGGGAGTGTGGGTCACTAGGCAGTTCCACCGCCGACATGATTTCAGGTGTTGAATGGGCTGTTTCAATCCGGCCCAATTCAGCCTTGTTAAGGGCCCAGTTGGTCTCTAATTAAGTTAGTGGGATCACCTCCCAATCCTAACTTAATATATGATTCTAACTACGATTAAGACAAGCAATTAGTCCGGTACGTCGATTTCTCTTTCGACGATCCTCCGACGAACTTCTCGACGAATCTTCCAGCAAACTCCCGACGAACTCTTGGCTAGTCTTCCGGTGTGCTTTCGGCGATCTCCCGACGAGCTTTCGGCGAGTCTTCCAGCGTGCTTCCGGTGATCTCACGATGAACTCTCGACGAGCTCCCGGTATATCGTCCGAATCTTCGACTCTGGCCCATCATCTGCTTTACGCCTTACTGCTATCGTATTTAGTCCTGCACACTTATCTCAACACATGGATTAGATCAAATAATTTACCAATTGATTTCATCATCAAATCCGAGATTCAACAATCTCCCTCTTTTTGATGATAACAACCAATTGGTAAAGGAGTTAATCTTAACTCCCCCTGTCTAGAGGTAGATACCCTTTCGTTTTCATCTACATATAAATGTTGTAAAATAGCCTAACAAGTCTAGGATAGATAGGTTCACTCATTTGAAGGATTGGGAGAATGTCAAGATTAGCAAATCATTGAATAGGTTCCAAATCACTTAATTCATCTAAATCAACATATTTACTCTTATGAACATGCCTAGATTCTATGGATGAAAATTTAAGAGCCTGTTGATGAGAATCAAAAGGGTATCTACCTATCTCTCAG